TTTGTGATGATGACAAATGATAATGTTGGAGAAAACTTTTTTTTTCTTTGGCCCATGTGGGAAGTCACGGGGTGACTTAAGGAATTATTTAGCAGCAATTGCTGTTTTGTTGTTATGAGAAGAAAACAGCCGCAGAAGAAGAAAATAGGAGGGAGCAGCAGAAAGAAGAAGAGAGGTACGCAGCTCCCATATAAGAAAGAAAGGTGATTTTCTTTCTTTGATAGTTCTCACTCAATTAAAGTTGTATTTGTGTATTAGCTTTAAGCTTCGTATAGAGAAGAAATTATTCATTATATTTCTCTCTATTTGTTTATTTGGTGTGTGAGAGCTATTGGTTGTATTGGGGTTTTGTGTTATGAGCTTGCCAACACTTTGTAAACTTCCATTTGGTTGATAGTGGATTATTGGGTGAGCTCCTACTGCTCCGAGGACGTGCTCCAATTACACTGACTATTGAGGAACCTTGTTAAAATCTTGGTGTCTTTAATATTTTGTTCTTGCATTTCATTTGATATTTCCTGTGGGTTAGCTTGAGTTGGTTCCAAAAAGGTTTGGTGCTGTCATAGCACAATAATTGGTATCAGAGCACTGGTTGCTCTTGGGTACTGTCTAGTTGCCAAAGATGTCAGACAGGCAAGATGAAAATCCTTTTGGAAGCAGCTCCGGGTTTGCAAGAACTACGGTGCAAAATGTAAAGTTCGAAGTGGAAAAGTTTGATGGCACAAACAACTTCGGGATGTGGCAATGTAAGGTCAAAGATGTGTTCGCTCAACAAGATCTACTTGCCGCTTTGGGAGAGAAGCCAGAAGCTATGTCGAAGCCGGACTGGGAGAAATTAAATTTGTGGGCTTGCTCTTCAATTCGGTTATGCCTTGCAAAAACTCAGAAGTATTTTGTGATGCGGGAGACGGTAGCAAGTGTGTTGTGGCAAAAATTGGAAGACAAGTATATGACGAAGAGTGCAGAGAACTGGCTACACTTGAAGAAAAAGCTCTACCGCTTTCAATACAAAGAAGGTACAAAAATGATTAGACACCTTGATGCTTTTAATAAGTTGATTGCCGACTTGTTAAATTTAGATGAGGATATTAAGGATGAAGATAAGGCCTTAATATTGTTGAATTCCTTACCGGACTCTTATGAGCATTTTGTTACCACTATTATGCATGGTAAAGAAACTGTGAAATTTGAAGATGTGTCAAATGCCTTGATGAATTATGAAATGAGGCATAGAGATAAAATCATGATAGTACCTCTGAAGCTTTATTTGTTAGAGGTAGATCATTGGAGAAGAAGTCATCTTCTAGTAAGAAAAAATCATACTCTCGACCTAGAGGAAACTCTAAAGGTAGAAAAACCTTGGAAAGGGATGAATGTGCCTTTTGTCATAATAAGGGTCATTGGAAGAAAGATTGTCCTAAGTTGAAGACCAAAGGAAAAGAAAGTTCTGAAGCCAATGTTGCTGAGGTTGAAACAGGTGTTTTTTATTTTGCTTTAACCACTTCCTCATCATTTGATTGTGCTACTAAATGGGTGTTGGATACGGGTTGTACTCATCATATGACTCCTCACAATGATTGGTTTTCAAGCTTGAAAGAGTTTGATGGCGGTGTTGTGTTCATGGGAGATGACAATCCTTACACAACAAAAGGGATTGGTACAGTTCGTTTGAAGTTGCATGATGGCATGGTTAAAGAGTTGACAGGTGTTCGGTATGTACCAAATTTGAAGAAAAATCTTATTTCTTTAGGTACTTTGGAATCCAAGGGCTTCAGGTTTCATTCAGATGGACAGACATTGAAAGTTACTTATGGTGCACTTGTTGTGATGAAAGCTCCTCGATGTGGTCATTTGTATTTATTGCAGGGAAACACTGTGACAGGTGAAGCATCTGTAGTCTCTGAAAATATGGGCACATCTGATTCATATACTACTAGACTGTGGCATATGAGATTAGGCCATGCCGGTGAGAAAGCTTTACAAAGGCTTGTGAAAAAAAGTCTTCTAAAAGGTGCCACGACTTGTAAGCTTGATTTCTGCGAGCATTGTGTCTTGGGGAAGCAAACTAGAGTGAAGTTTGGTACTGCTGTACATCAAACGAATGGCATTCTTGATTATGTGCATTCGGATGTTTGGGGTCCTACAAAGACTCCATCTTTAAGTGGTAGATATTGGTTCGTGACCTTTGTTGATGATTATTCAAAAAGGTCTTGGGTTTACACTATGAAGCACAAGAGTGAGGTGTTAAGCATTTTCTTGGGTTGGAAGAAAATGGTTGAGAACCAGACTGGGAGAAAGATTAAGATTTTGAGATTGGATAATGGTGGTGAATACACATCTGATCCTTTCTTTAAAGTTTGCAAAGAGGAAGGAATTGTGAGACATTTCAGTGTTCGGGGAACTCCACAACAAAATGGAGTTGCAGAAAGATTGAATCGAACCTTGCTTGAGAAGGTTAGATGTATGTTGTCTTAGTCGGGTTTAAGCAAGTCATTTTGGGCAGAGGCAGTTAATTATGCATGTTACATCATCAACCGGTTACCCTCAGCTACTGTTCAGGGTAAGACACCAATAGAGGTATGGACTGGAAAACCTTCTTCTGATTATGACTATATCCGTATTTTTGGTTCACCTGCTTATTTTCATGTGACTGAAAATAAAACTTGATCCTAGAGCCAAAATGCTATCTTTCTTGGTTTTAGTAGTGGTGTCAAAGGTTATAGGTTGTGGTGCCCAGAGATGAAAAAACTTGTAATCAGCAGAGATGTGACATTTGATGAAGAAAGTATGTACAAAGTCTCTGAGAAGAATGTGAAAGATGTCCAACAAGTGGAGCTTGAGAAAGTTGCCTCTGGTACTTCAAATCCTATTTCCGCTGATGTCGAAGCCACTACAAGTGAAGAAGTTGGAGACCATGAGGATGTTGAAGAAGTTGAACTTGAAGATTCTATTCAAGTTGAAGAGCAAGTTTCACCTCAAGAGTCTATTACAAAGAACAGAGGAAAGAGACAAATTACCAAGCCAGCTCGGTATAGTGACTATGTTGCTTTTGCTCTTCCTATTATCATTAATGATATTCCATCAAATTTCAAGGAAGTCATTGAGAGTGATGAGAAGAAGAGGTGGTGCAATGTCATGGGTGATGAGATGAATTCTCTCTTGAAGAACAAGACTTGGGAGTTAGCTAAATTGCCTAAGGGCAAGAAAGCCATCGGTTGCAAATGGGTGTATGCCAAGAAGGGGGATGCTGATGAGAAAAGCAATGTGAGATTTAAAGTAAGATTAGTTGCTAAAGGGTATGCACAAAAGGAGGGCATTGACTACAATGAAATATTTTCTCCGGTTGTGAAGCACTCCTCAATTCATATTATGTTAGCTCTTGTTGCACAATATGATCTTGAGCTTGTGCAACTCGATGTGAAGACGGCTTTCCTACATGGTGATTTGAATGAAGAGATCTATATGTGTCAACTGGATGGGTATATAGTGAAAGGGAAGGAAAATTTGTCTTGCAAATTGAAGAAATCACTTTATGGCTTGAAGCAATCTCCAAGGCAATGGTATTTGAGGTTTGATAAATTTATGAGAGGCCAAAATTATTCTAGAAGTCAATATGATCATTGTGTGTACTTCAAGAAGTTGCAAGATGGGTCTTTCATTTATTTATTGATATATGTTGATGATATGTTGATTGCCTCAAAGAATGTTGAAGAGATTGAGAAATTGAAGAAACAAATGAAGAACGAGTTCGAGATGAAGGATCTTGGTGAAGCGAAGAAGATCCTTGGCATGGAGATCACTAGAGATAGAGAGAAGGATTTGGTCAGTTTGAATCAAAGACAATACCTTGAGAAGTTGATCTGGAAGTTTGGAGTTCATGATTCAACCAAATCAATTAGTACCCCTTTGGCTCCTCATTTTAAATTGAGTTCTCTACATATCCTAAAACTGATAAAGAGAAGCTGCAAATGAAAAATATACCATATGCAAATTTGGTTGGTAGTTTGATGTATGCAATGGTATGCTCTAGACCGGATATTGCTCATGCAGTTGGCATGGTGAGTCGATATATGTATAATCCAGGTAAAGAGCATTGGCAAGCAGCTAAGTGGATATTGAGATATCTCCATGGTACTCGAGATGTTGGTTTATGCTTTGAAAGGGATGACTCTGGTATTGGTCATTTTGCAGTTGGTTATGTTGATTCAGATTATGCAGGTGATCTGGATGGAAGGAAGTTTACTACAGGCTATGTGTTTACTATGGCTAAAGGACCAGTTTGTTGGAGGTCCATTTTGTAGTCGTCTGTTGCCTTGTTTACTACAGAGGCTGAATATATGGCAGTTGCTAAAGCTTAAAGGAGGCCATTTGGATACATGGGCTGATTAGAGATTTGAGAGTTGATCAGAAGCAGGTGGAGGTACATTGTGATAATCAGAGTGTCATTTATTTGGCCAAGTATCAGGTTCATCATACGAGGACCAAGCACATAGATGTGCGTTATCACTTTGTTCGTGAAATTATTAGTGAAGGGGAAATCATTCTCCAGAAGATTCCAACTAAAGACAACCCCGCTAATATGTTAACTAAGGTTGTTGGTGTAGCCAAGTTTGTTCACTGTTTGAACTTGGCTCACATTATGCCTATATAAAGAAGGCGTTGAGCAGTAGGAGTTTTGGAGCATTTGGCTCGGCATGAGTTGTTTTCTTGCTAGTGTTTGAGAGTGATTTTTTGGGTCAATTGTGTTGGTTGGCTTATCATGGCGTTTTCGGAACTTGGCCAATGTGGAGATTGTTGAATGGTGGCCAAGTGGCCATTACCTTTTGGCTATTAAACAAAAAAAAAGAAAAAAAAAGGGAGACATCATGATGTTGTTCCTTGCTTTGTGATGATGACAAATGATAATGTTGGAGAAAACTTTTTTTTCTTTGGCCCATGTGGGAAGTCACGGGGTGACTTAAGGAATTATTGAGCAGCAATTGCTGTTTTTGTTGTTATGAGAAGAAAACAGCCGCAAGAAGAAAATAGGAGGGAGCAACAGAAAGAAGAAGAGAGGTACGCAGCTCCCATATAAGAAAGAAAGGTGATTTTCTTTCTTTGTTAGTTCTCACTCAATTAAAGTTGTATTTGTGTATTAGCTTTGAGCTTCGTATAGAGAAGAAATTATTCATTATATTTTTCTCTATTTGTTTATTTGGTGTGTGAGAGCTATTGTTTGTATTGGGGTTTTGGGTTGTGAGCTTGCCAACACTTTGTAAACTTCCATTTGGTTGATAGTGGATTATTGGGTGAGCTCCTACTGCTCCGAGGACGTACTCCAGTTACACTGACTGTTGAGGAACCTCGTTAAAATCTTGGTGTCTTTAATATTTTGTTCTTGCATTTCATTTGATATATTTCCTGTGGGTTAGCTTGAGTTGGTTCCAAAAAGGTTTGGTGTTGTCATAGCACAACAGGAGGGACCTTGCGCAAGCTTATAAGAGATTGAGCGACTCCCCATGTTGCCAATTATAAGCTCATGCAAGGTCCCTCTTCCCATCGATGTGGAATTCATTCTCAACAGACAATGAGAAGGCCATATGAATATTTTCAATTTTTCCTTACAGATCGAAGTGTAATGCAGTGCTGAATGTTTTTTGTTATGTTAAATGCAGGTTTTGTGAATGCAAATTCTGCATGCTGCCATGTGGCGGGGCGCTTCGGGGGTCTTATTCCGTGCGGCCCTCCGTCCGAAGTTTGCAGGGAGATATCTAAGTACATATTATGGGATCCCTACCATCCTTCTGATGCTGCTAATTTAATCATAGCAAGGCGTCTCTTGTATGGGAACTCCAATGACATTTCGCCCATCAATGTTCTCCAACTTATTCAGTCTTAATTAAATCTGTTGGCTAAAGTAAGAGAACAAATCAAATGAATGATGTTAATTCTTCAGTAGTTATTTAATTATTATTTTTCTTCTTCTTCTTCTTTTGGGTTCATAATATATAAAACTCATTGTTTTATAGGGTAGTAAATTAGTAATTGCAAAGCATGGTTGCAACTAAAAGAAAAAAAGACAGAAGAAAGAGTATAAACTATTGCCCAGAAGAGCTTGTTGATTATATTATATTTGTTGTAATAAGTAATAACAAGATTCATGAAGAAATAAAAATCATGATGGAGGTTTGAAAATTAGAGACTTGAGACACCAGATTTTGTTTAATTTAACATCTGATAAATGAAAGACAAGTGGTGGATTGTCTTAGTAAATATGGCTTTCTTTTTTAATTTATTTTGTTCCGCGTTCAAATTATATATACTCCAATTTCTTATTGTAGATTATAATAATATTATCTCATGTAATAAATAAATAAAAAATGAGAGACATATAGTGGCCTCTTCTCCATCCATACATCCATATTATCCCAATTTAAGGCATACATAGCCAATTGGGCTACCTTATTACAATTTCTAGGATTGGATGCAGTGAATGACAATTGAGTCACTAAATTCTAAACGCTTGATGTCATCGATAGGGGCTGCACGATCAACAACATAGTACTCCGGACCATGTGTTAGAATTCACTCTACACAGCTTTTGCATCAGGCTCCACCTCCACATAAATTGAAGATGTCTAACTGCCACTTTCGTCACCTTCGGCCCGAAACATCCAGCACATGACTATTAGTTACTATGTCTAACCATCTCTTCCAACCATCATTATCACATGACCCATCAATGTTTATTTTGAGTCGAACTGCCATTAATTTCGTCACTTTCGACGACAAACATCCAGCACATGGCAGAATCCATTAATTTTCTCAATTCATTTCCTACCTAATGATAATCAATTTTATGCAACGGATTCATTGCTACTGTAGCATCCTAGACTACTAGTCAGACAATCATATCCCATATAGAAGAGATGATGATGCCTTCATTAGTGAATCTTACGTCGTAAAAGCTCTTTGCAACGAGAGGTAGAAACTGATGAATGGCTTTCCACAAAAATAACTTGACTTTGATACATACATAGATAACATATTTCAACAAATATGAAACATGCGTTGAATACAATGCAACTACCATGCATGTCAATCACACTCAAGTACAAGGGAAGACTTGCATGCATACCGCAATACCCACTCTCTTCACTAATGAAAAATGTCATAAGTTGAAACATAGATGGCTTCATCATTTTATACTCATCTGTTTGAACTTGAAAAATGTACCAAACCAGGAAAGAACTCGTAAATCAAGCGATTAAGAGTATTTACTTTGTATATATGACTTTTGATGATGTGTCGCGGCTTGTTTATATAGATTGCTACATTTTTAATATAGAAAACTTCATTTTAATCCTTAACAAAGATGACTTTTAGATTAAAACTATGAGTAAGATCAAAATCTAATTTTAGTCCCTTGATACATTAATAACCTCATTTATTAATTATATTTTTATTTTTTTAATTATTTATCTTTTTCTTCCTAATTTTTAATGTATTAATTTTATTTGATTATAATTTTCATTTTCATTTTATTATTGTAATATATTTTGTTGTAAACATTTAGATAAATTATTTTTTGTCATACAATATATTTCGATGTACTTTGTCTTCTTCATTTAGGTACATTAAATTCATTATAATACATTTCGGTGCATATATTTAGGTGCACACATTTTGGTACATACATTTCGATACAAATATTTAAGTACATTATATTTCGGTACATACATTTCGATACTAACATTTAAATACATTAGTTTAATATAATACATTTCGGTACTTACATTTAGGTGCATTCATCATATAAAATTAAAAAATTCTTTTTTGGTCAAAAAATAAATTAAAATTTGTATCTTAATAAATTTAAGTATTTAATGGGAGACATTAAATATTTTGAATTAATGACAAATTGAGGGATTATAATCAATATGTAATCTAAACCAAGTTTAAAAGTAATTCTTAATTTCTGAATGATTTATCTACATACATGAGTAGGGGTTTTAAATAGTCTAGGCATGGAACAACCTTCAACCTTCCATGAATAGGTTACTAAGCATGAACTTAATGTAAGACTAATCATGAACTTAAATGAGAACATGAACCATCTTTGAATTAAATATGATGAATGCACCATGTAATAATTAGACGAGTCCAAATTTGGTAATAATTAGACAAGTCCATATTCGGTGTCATACACTTCTGCTGCACAATAACTTGTCCCCAATTTCTCTTCGTCTTCGCAACCATGATAAGGAGAAATGTCTACAACATTGAAGGTTGCTAATACTCCATAGTCTCCTGGAAGTTCAATCTTGTAAGCATTGTCTCCGACACATTGGAGCACCTTGAAAGGACCATCAGCTCGTGGTTTCAGCTTCCCATTCTTACCTCGAGGGAACCTTTCTTTGCGAAGATGAACCCACACCAAATCTCTTTCTTTGAATGTAGCCGGCTTCTTGTGCTTGTTGGCTTGCCTTTGATAATTCTCATTTTGCTTAATGATACGTTCCCGCACATGTTCATGTAATTTCTTTATATACTCGGCCTGTTCTTCAGCAGCTCCACTAAATTGATAGCTTGTGGGTAGTGGAGCTAAGTCTAGAGGACTTATTGGATTTTGTCCATAAACTGTCATGAAAGGACTAGAACCGGTTGTCTGACTGGTAGATTGATTGTAGGCAAATTCAGCTTGAGCTAAAACAAGATCCCATTGACGAATATTTTTACCCACCAAACTTCTTAACAGATTTTCCAAGCTTCAGTCGACCGCTTCCGTTTGCCCATCCCGTTTGGGGGTGATGGGAAGAACTAAACTGTAAAGTAGTGCCTAGCTTTCTCCAAAGAGTTCGCCAATGCCCAACAAACTTACTGTCTCTGTCAGATGTGATTGTCTTTGGAATGCCATGAAGCTTGACAATTTCTCGACATCGTTATAACTCCAATAGGTCTGGAGTTGCATGATATTGCTAATTTCCAAGCGAAGTCCCCCGAGACAATGAGCAATTGTTTGCTCCTCTGGCTCAACAATGTTGCAGAGCATTCAGAGTTTGTCAAATTCTGTTGTATACTCCTCCACAAACAAATCTTTTTGCTTGAAATTGTGAAACATAAGAAAAGAATCTTGTCGATAATTTTCTAGTAGAAATTTCTTCTTCAATTCTCTCCTCATCTTTTCCCATGTTACAATTTTTCTTTTAGCTTCTCGAACCTGCTGCTTCTTGAGATGTTCCCACCAAATTGAAGCATGTTTCTTCAATTTGATAGCCACTAGGTTCACTTTGCGATCTTCTGCCACATCCTTGTAATCAAATATTCTTTCCATGGTATTGATCCAATCCATGAATTCTTCAGGCTGCATCTTGCCTTCAAATTCTGGAATGTCAACTTTGATATCAAAATTTTGTTGAAAATGATGACGTTGTCTACGATCGTTCTCATCATCCAAGACTCGATCATCACCACCACCAAAAGGATTCTCGTCCTCTTCATCAGATCCATCATTCTCTGTTTCATGACGGGGATCATCATGTTCCAGAGGCTCATAGCGCTCAAAACGTTGCTGAAGCTACTGCACTTGTCTCCTTAGGTCGTCCATCTAAATGTCACGTAGATGTCTCTCACGATGTGGTGAGTATTGGCAAGCTTGTCGGCCTCCACGACGCCCATGCCTCCCAACCATGATCGGACAGAGCTCTTATTACCAATTTGACACCAAATAACAGAGCTTAAAGAGAAACCACAAGTGAACACTCAAAGATAAACAACTCGCCACTTTAAGGAATCCACCAAAGAGATAAGAGTTTACGGATAGGAAGAAAAACACTCTTCACTAAACCAAGTTTAAAAGTAATTCTTAATTTCTGAATGATTTATTTCCATACATGAATAGGGGTTTTAAATAGTCTAGGCATGGAACAACCTTCAACCTTCCATGAATAGGTTACTAACCGTCACAGGACGTTGTCCAAACATATTGGATCATTGTATATCAAATCCCGGAATGTTGGAAACTTCGTTGTTAAATTGTTGAAAGAAAGGTTGTTTGATGTAATAGTTCGTAACACAATAAATTTGAAACCACTACTAGTTTACTAGACCATGTACTAATTTATGCAGAAAATATCAGTGGCCTGGGAAACAAACTAAAAAATTAGTTAATCAATTACATTAACTACAGGCACACAATCTTCTGCAAGAATTGAGACCGGGGATAGCTAATGTCTATTTTTCCGGCAATATCTTAACATGCATGTTAGAAGGTAGGGGCTCCTATGGTTACATCAAACGAGTCACTGGAAACGTATATCTCCAGCCACAACGGACTTTGTTGAACCACGGTCGTTTAGGATTGACACTCTGCTACCCTAACAGTCGTTGAATCGGACCCAGTTTTCGCCTGGCTATGTTGTTTTCGGGGCAACTTGCTATGCTGAGAAATTTGGAATAACCAAGCAAGCACCGTGGTTTTGGATCATTGTGTATGGTGGAGCTTAAAATTGGTTATCTGTCTCCTATTCTGCGACAGTACAGATAGCGAAGGAAATTGATGACCATTCGTAGAGGAAACACTCTTCAGATCCACTTGCAAAATGCGCAAGACAAGCTTCCGCTGCGCAAAGTTGTTAGAGTAGCGGTATTCTTCATTTTACATAAGATTAATCCGATTGTAAAACAAATATTTGATTATTCATAGATCATCAATAATGCGTGGATATTATTTATCGTTATTAAAATTTACATATATGTTGTATGCATCAAGATTGTGATGCGCTTAAATCCAATATGTTGGACTGAGCGAGCGATACATTGTGGAAGGAAGACAAATTGGCCTTGAGCTATAAGATCGCATAGGTACACACTCTTGCAAAGAAAAAAACAAACACTTTCCTCTTAGGAATAAGCCTAAAGCAACAAAATAATTTTGCTCAAAAAGAAAGCAACAAATAAAAAGAAGTGCCCAAGATGTCAAAATTTAAACCAAACTTAAACGACTGAGACGTGCTTTGTGAGAGTTTGTAATTCAAATAGTAGAATCTACCCATCTTATATATTTTAGACAAAAAAATGAAAATATGTTTGTCTACAAACATAACACCATTTCAAGGATATTTAGAGCTATTCGAATTAGGACTTGATAAAATTTTGTGCTTCTAATAGTTTGAGTAGTACCACATGCGTAATTGTACTTAAATTGTATATAACATTACATATCCTAAACAACGAATATATAACTGAATATAAAACCAAAAATTTTACGAATAAAGATATATATCTTGTCCACTTCCCCATGCCTTAAAAGTAAAAGGAAGAAACATTGACTTAATTTCTTAGTGGAAAAAACAAATTAAAAATAAAAAATAAAAAAAACTAAAAAAAAAAAGGAGAAAAAAAGAAAGAAAGAGGCGATGAAGGGTGACAGACAAGAGGCTTCCCTACACCATCTTCTGCCCACAAGACAGCCGAGGACGAGGCCTTTCCTGTTCCTCTACCACCGAACACAGCCCCCCTGCCATCACTTTTCTCTATCCTGCGCCTCCCCTCTTAACCCACCCCCACCCTTAACCTGCGCACCCTCTTCCCCCTATACCTTCCCCTCCCAATTTCCATTAAAACCTAGGATTCCCCTCCTCTCAACCTCTTCCCCCAAATTCGGAGTCCTGAAGGGTCTTTGGGTTTCGGGTTAGGGTTTTTGAGAGATGTGGGATGCTTCAGGCATTGATGAATCTCCTCTCTCTTTGCTGGAAGCCATTTGGGCGCAGCGACGGTGAGGGACTCGGCTCTGTCGGAATCGTCGGCGCTGCGAACATCGCAGGCGGCGGTGGAGGACGAGATGGCAAAGATAATTTGCTTTGGTTCCGAGATTTCGGAAAGTACGCGTGGGGGGATTTCTCCATGGCGGTGGTCCAAGCCAATCAGGTGCTCGAGGACCAGAGCCAGATCGAGTCTGGACCCTTTGGAACCTTCGTCGGCGTATACGACGGACATGGCGGCCCGGAGACCGCTCGATACGTTTGCGACAATTTATTTAAACATTTCCAAGGTTCGTGATCCCCAACCCTCTCAAATATATATGATTTTTAGATTTGAATGGCATGGTTTCGAATTCGCCACGTCTTGGTGGAGAATGTGTGATTGTTAATTTGTGGATCGGAATTGTTAATCGTGATGTTTGTTAAAGCTGTGAACTTTTTGTTAAAGTTGTGACTTTGATTTGTCTTTGAGTTTGGATCACGGATTATCTCTGCATACAATGCCTTAGAAAGTTGAATATATATCTCTGCGCGTAGAATTTGCTAAGCGAGTAAAAAAATTGTGGGACACTGCCTGGTTCTTCGTTGTAATGCATAGTTTTCGTTTCCTATTGTTTTTATTTTACTTTAGTTGGGCAGTTTTGGGGTCGGGTTTCCTGTTTAACTATTGAAGAATGAGCCGCTCTTATGTTGGCTATCTTAGGCATTGTGTTTATGCAGCAATATCAGCGGAGTCCGAAGGTGTTGTGACGGCAGAGACTATCCAAAATGCTTTTCTCCGAACAGAGGAAGGGTTTACTGCCCTTGTTTCGGAGCTGTGGGGTACTAGACCCCAAGTAGCAACTGTCGGGTCATGCTGTCTGGTTGGAGTAATATGTCAGGGGACCCTATTTGTGGCAAACTTGGGAGATTCACGGTGTGTGTTGGGGAAGAAAGTGGGCAACACTGGGGAAATTGCTGCGATCCAGTTGTCCACTGAACACAATGCAAATCTCGAGGAGGTTAGGCGTGAGCTGAAAGATTTGCACCCACATGATCCTGAAATTGTCGTTTTAAAGCATGGAGTTTGGAGAGTAAAAGGGATAATCCAGGTATTTTTTATTTTATATTGTTCATCTGAAAGCTCATTAGTTAAGGTGTGCATTAATCTGTAACTACCTACAGTTATGTCATTGGTGTTTCTGTTCTCCTACCTGTTGTTTCTGAAGCCAATATTTGTCGAAATGGTGCAAGAACCCTAGTCCTAGCCTCCTAGGTATTGTGCATGCAGTGTTTAGTCTGAGCATTTCTATCCTATGTCTGTCATGCATCTGCAGTGCTGTATTGCATCTTATGCTCGTCCTGTTTAGGATCCAGCCATAAGAATTACTGAAAGCTTAGAATTGTGAAGGATTAGGAGTCCCTTTGATAAGCATTTTGAACTAAGATAGAGTAGTCTAATTTATCCATTAGCTTCTAGCTTTGTTTATAACTTGAGATAACACCCTTGCTGATTCATAATATCTTCAATAAGTTTGATTTTACCTGATTCAACCAAATTTTGTGAGGTAAATGGGTTGTTTTGCAAGGTCTAATTGAAATCATGGTTGTTTGTCTGATAGGCAAGAGATACTGAACTTGAAGGTTGTTGATTTGTTCCCAAGTTCAAATTTGCCCCAGTGCCAAGTTTTTTTTAATAGATGTGTATCTATTTTGCAACAACAACAACAAAGCCTTTTCCCACTAAAGCCTGTATCTATTTTATTTTGCATTTGTTGAAGATCATAGGAGTTCAAATGTATAAATACTTTGTATTTTCTTAGATCTACATAAGCCTGTTATCTTGCTAGAATCCTTCTAGAAGGAGATTTTTGGGCTATATTATGAATGCTTCGTTATAAATTTTCATAAGTTTGTTCATTCTTAAATAGTGATGTTTTGTGATAACTCCTTGCATTTATTTGATGTAGGTATCTAAATCTATAGGTGACGTATATATGAAACATGCACGGTTTAACAGGGAGCCAATTAGTGCAAAATTCAGACTTCCCGAACCAATGACCATGCCTATCTTGTCTGCCGAACCAACCATTCTTTCTCATCCCCTCCATCCAAATGATTCTTTCCTTATATTTGCTTCTGATGGTCTATGGGAACACTTGAGTAATGAAAAAGCTGTTGAGATTGTCCACAATCATCCACATGCAGTAAGATTCTGACCTTTTCAGTTTTTAGTCATATTAAATAATTCTTATTTTCAATCACATTCATGTCATACTTTCTTACCTGCCTTGGTGTAGATCAAATGTCCTTAAAGAATGATCGTTATAGAAGAAGTATATTTGACTGGATGCCCGGACAAAACATATAGGTTTCAATATTCTTGATAATATTTATCTTTATTCCCCGCTGTCACATTTTTATCTGATATTGGTGCTTGTGCTGACTTGAGTTTTGAATACCTATTGAGGGAAATATAGATGTAAGGATAAATACTTTGCCCTTTAATTTGCAACTTAGGGAAGTAAAAAGAAACATTGGCTTTGAGCTGATGCTTTAAGCATTTTCTAGTATCTGATGCTTATTGTGTATATCTGTTTTAATGGGATTATATGCTGTTCTTGATCTCTGATGCTGACTAGTACCCGTGTTGGCAGGGAAGTGCCAAGCGGCTTGTTAAGACGGCTCTCCAAGAAGCTGCAAGGAAAAGAGAGATGCGATATTCAGATCTTCGGAAAATTGACAAGAAGGTCAGACGCCATTTTCACGATGATATAACTGTCATTGTTTTATTCTTAAACCATGACCTAATATCCAGAGGCACAGCGCGAGAGCCCCCAGTATCAATAAAAGGTGCCCGTGACCACTGATACGTTTATGAAATCAAACATGTCTCTGCTGCCCCTGATTCTGATATGTGCGTGAACGATCATCCTACTGTCGTGAGAAATAATTTCCAGGATGAATTGGCTAGACAGACCACCGGGATCCGGAGATGATGCTTGGTTTTTGAAGAGGCTTTGCAAGTTTTAATGTCAGAAGAGTAACTTAATTACAGAGTCGTATAATTCCATGTTTATGTCGTATCTTAAATGAATGTTGTAGTTGGTTTGGTTGCCTCTCGGAAACAGAATGCGAGAGCTGTAGTGTCATTATAACTTTTTTCCTTCCAATACAGCTACACCTCTTGTTTTATTCATCACCAGGGAACTATTTTAACTGCTTGTAACAGCAATTGCATCCTTTGGAAATGGCAAGAGCAAGACATTTGAATTGAATTTGGGCAACTCCATCCGTTGGGTATGAGCAAGGGCAAAGGCTATTACTATTTATTTATATACATTTTCTTTTTTTAATGTTTTGTTGGCTTTATCTTCCCCTTGTCGTTATTATCTTATATTTCCAATAAGATTTTTTCGTCATGTGTGATTATTCATTAATACTACTCGCCCAGACTTTTGATGAGATTCTCAACCATTTATGTAGCGTCACGGGCAAAAATCTTCTTCCACATGTGTTGCACTCTCATCTCTTTCCCGCGATCGGATAATGAGTTACTAGCACCCAAGTCTCAAACAAAGCAACGTCCTTTGGTGTAACGTCTTATCCGATTGATCAACTTGCTTTCTCTCTCCCTTTTTTTTTCCTTGTAGCAAAAGTACTTGGAAAGAGGAAAACAAATATAAGAGATTGTAGTAAAAATAAACAAGGTTCTAAAAGATGCTAGGCGCTAGTCATGCGGGCATCTAGGCGAGTAGATCTATTATATTTTGTGTAAATAAATGTCTATTTATACTTAAAATATAAATAATTTCATTATAAACTACAAAATAGAATGATATATATATAATATGAAGTATTGAAATATAAGGGAAAAACATGGGAAACAAGCATATAATGTGTGTTCATTTAAGTATTCAATAAGTCTCTTACAATTTATTAAAAAAAAATACAAAATGAATGTTATCTATTTTCTGTCTAAGTGTCTAAGTGAGTAGCAATCTAGGCGGTTGCCTAGGCGGGTTTGGGCGGGCTAGGTGCATGCCTAAGCAGTCTAGGAGGGCGCCTCAGCAGGTCTAGGCGCCCTTTCTTAATTTTCAAACGCTTAGACATTAATCGAGACAATGGCCAACCGCCCAACGCTTAAGCGGAGATTTTTAGAACAGTGAAAATAAATAATGAGTTGTAGTGTGGGGAATAAAGAAGATGGTGAGTTTTTATAGACTTAATTGTTCTTTTTATTTTATTTTTTACAATTAGATTAATCATGATTGTTCCATATGGCACAACAAAAGGATTTTCGAGAAAAAAAATAACCGTTTAGAAATCCAACAATCTAAGACACGCAGGGCAAAGAGCCATTGGACTCTGTCGGCTAGCGTATGTCGCAAGGCCCACCCTCCACTGACTAATGTCATCCATTGCCAATGGAAGGGCGGCCAAAAGTTGGGTGGGCAGCACAACGGCCTAGACGGAGCCCCCTAATCGCCATGGCCCGCTAAAGCAATTTTTTTTATGTTTTGGGCAGTTAAAAGGCTCTTACCTCTTTTGGGAACAGCTGGAATTGCTCTAATAAGCGAATCCGATAAATATATGTTGTTTATTTCAGCATAAGTTGGATTAGAGCAATTTGCTTTCAGCAAAACATCAACTTTCTTAAACAAATTAAACTACAGCAAATTGAAATGGTTCCGGCTTGTTTCTGCATTCTCTTAAACGAAAGCTTTTGCAGATTCGGCTTCCCCCCTGAATTTCTTGTTTCCAGCTCTATCTTTCAAACCGAGCCACGGAGGAGAAGCAAAGATGATGCAGCCAGGAAGAGGACGAGAAAGAGGACTGGTTGCTCTCATCGATCAATCCCATGTGATGTTACATTCCTGGTTTTGGCCTGAGAGTGGTAAGATGTAATTGTGTTAAGAGCAAGGAAGAAAATATCGGTAATATCGGAAATATCGGTAGTCCGAAAACACGGAAATATCGATGGAAATATCGGGATAATATCGATATCGATAAAAATTACATGGAAACCACGGAAATTGTAAGAAAAACTTGGAAATTTTTAATGAAACTTTGCAGGATGTTTATTTAGTCAATTATCTATTAGTTTATCACAAAAAATTGGAAGGAAACGCATTATGCATTGCATGATGGATTTAACTGATTTAAGTTGATTATATAGCGAGCTGGCAAACATTGTGAGTGTAGAAAATATGTAGTAATTAATGAAAGAAGTTTAAACACACCATAATCATTTATATATAATTAATTAGTACAATATTGGGAGGTTTTATTTAGGATATTAAAAAAAAAAAAGGGAAGTGAATAAAATGATAAAGAATAATGTGCCGAATTTGACACTGGTTTTCCGGCCAAACCACGGCCAGTTGGCCGGCGTGCAAGGTATCAATCTCTTCGTCTCATCAAGTAGTACAACTTTCCTTTTTGTTTCACTCAATTTCGTTGAGTATTGAAAAAGTTACACTCATTTGAATCTTACCCAGTTTCCGGCGACCTCAGTGACTTTCGAGGAATTTTCTGGCCAAACCACGACGATTCAGATGTCGTGTGAGGTACCATTCTCTTCGTCTCTTCGAGGGCTACAACTTTCGTTTTTGTCTTGCTAGATTTTGTTGAGTTTTGACAAAGTTATGGCCGTTTAAAGTGGGTGTGGATTTCCGGCCGAAATTCCTATTTTCTTCCTTGGTCGAGTCCCACATCGCCCATGTGAGGGCAGTGAGCAAGCAAGAATGCCTTTAAAACCCACATTCCCAAGCTGAGAAAAGCATGTCTTGGTTGGCCTTAGGGTTATGATCAAGTGTATTATGTGTTGAGATATCTCAACATTTTTAAGTATTTTTTAATATTATATTACAATATTATTGATAATTTCAAAAATATTATGATATTATCGATAATATTGTGATATTTTGATGAAAATCATTTGGATAGTTAAAAAAATATCGGACCTTCAAAAAAACAATTAATGTTGGTGAAATATTGCTGATATTATTGATTTTTTCTTCCTTGGTTAAGAGTGCAAAGTTAGAAACAGCGCTACAAGAGACTATGGGGGGAAACCCACATCGAGGAGGTAGGAGAGTTGATGTGGGATAAAATCGAAAGCCCGACAGTGAAATAAGCATACATTTATTGGCCTTTTGGTTTAAGATCAAATGTAGTATATGTTCTTATCAGTTTAATATCTGATACGTGGACCATTGGTCCACATGATATTAAATTAATTTTTTAAGAGGAAGAGTCCATCACAATAGCTTGCTATTGGGGTTTTTATGGGTCGCCTAAGTGTTGCACTACTTCTTGGGCCTGGCACACCCCACCAAATCAAAGTATAAAATTTGACGGCCCAACCCAAGCAACTTCAGGAATATGCAAGCGCTCGTGTTCTTCCCAAAGTTGGGGTGTTCATGGAGAATTTGTAATGACACCCTCCCAAGCAAACCTCACTAGGAGGCACGTGGATGATCGATGATCTGACTTGCCTCCTCTGTGGTTACGCGAGCAAGAGCGTTATTCACTCTAGATCGTTTCAGCAATTCCTTCTAATTAGAGAAATAACACAACGAGATCTCTCTAAAAAATTCATCAAATAAGTTGATTGAGCACAACCAAAATTAACTTTGGAGAATAGATGACTACAAAATACCTCTTTGTTTCTATTTTGTTTTGGGATGTGATATCCACACACCCCATTTTACTTCTCACACATTCTTCTAATTTTCGACCGTCGGATCGGATGAATTGAAGAAGATCAACGGACATAAATTAACAAGGAGTGTGTGAGAAGTAATTTGGGGTGTGTGGATAGCACACCCCTTTGTTTTTCTTTTTAAGTATTTCCTGAGCAACACATGAGTTGATTTAATTTATTTGCGTTGTGCCTTTGGCAGTCCTAAGAGACGAGGGCAGGGACCGTGTTGTTGCTATTATAAGTACGACTATATGAGTAAGACTAACTTTTTGTAGTGTCAATAACAACCGTTTGCAAAAACAAACAGAAACCAAATGCCATTTACTTTCACTAATAGTGCTTTAGTTTGACATTGAACTTAAGAACAGATCTATGATTCTCTATATCCATGGACTCTGTTTCCATAATCCCATACCCCTTAACAAATGTAAAATCCCCAGTCCCAGAAACAATTCCAGACTCTCTTCCCTCCATTGAATAATGGTTGGCTCCTTGAATTGCCAGACTACTTCCTCCATTTTCTCCATCCATGGATATCACATTCTTAGTTTACCTTTATACAACTGTTGACCCTAAAAACTACCAAGCCTACATGGCGCACATGCCGAGTAAATAATGAGTTAACTACGTCCTTCGGTTATGTGCAAGGTGTGCCAACTCGACAGCCGAGCTCGGCTGAGGAGTAAAATATGATGATGTCGCGTTGAGCACGCTGCTAACTTCTTGATCTTGCAACTGCAGTCAAGAAAGGAACACATATCGGCCTTCGGGTTCTAGAGCCTAAAGACAAAGCTGCTAGTCTTTGCGAAGTTCACAAATCATCGATGTCAGGTTCGGTCACGGTGATTATATTTGTAAGAGTATAAGCACATCAAACTGGTACCAGACTATATGGACACAAATACTTGAAAGAGATGTATGTCTGGATGATAAATGTGATTCGACCGTCGGAATGCCGAAATCTAAAGTGTACTTGTGAATATCCAATCATAAAACAACTCAACGTTTCCTAGTAACCTGTAACACCTCACTTCGCCAAGAAGGCTGATGAAATGACCTCTACCAATAAGAACTTGAAAGTCCTTGTCGACCAAGACTTAGATAAATAATCAATCTGTCTTGAAGCAGTGTTGTTTATCCAAACTGAAAGTGCTCATTGATCGGCTTATTCTACGGCTCCAGTGATGTTTATCTAAACTGAAGATGTCGTCAGTTGCTTTCACAGTGCTATTTATCCAAACTGAAGATGTGTTGGCAAGAAGAATGAGGAGAAGGATAAAATCTCAAAGGTTGTTGAGAGGCTTTTAGCAGGGCAATTTGTGTGTTGAATTGGAGAGGCTCAGCACGTTGCACAATGCTTCATATTTATAGCGATGAAGAATCTAATGAGTTTGAGCAGATAACATGGCTTTTCTTGATAGCCACATATTTTCACACTAGCCCAATGAATGACCAAGTGATAATGCATTAAGTCATGCTTCCTACTTCAACCAAGAGACTCCCTTCTCCATTTTATTGTCCAAATGCACTCATGCAATCCGTTACAAATCGCGAAGTGTAATCATTATCTCACGATTATTCCATCATCTTTGACCATCCTGATCAGTACCAAGCCAAGTGCATGATAACACTTAATCATCATCATTATCACCAAACTTGAATTGGATAATAACAGTTTCAAGAAATCCAATCCCATCTTTCATGCTTCAATTCCATCATGCATGCTTCATTATTTGATGTCGTGCCTTAATGCATATCCCCATTTATCTTGTACAAGAAAATATCAAGGTAATTTATCATTAAAAAATAATTATTATGATGAAAAATCATAATATTATCCTTTAACAATAACAAAATTATCTTCTTGATATCTAATGGTGTGGAGTTATGCTCAATCAACAGCCCTTGATTGCACGGGCCGTTAGTGTAAATTTGGGTCCAAACAATAACTTAAAAACTATATCATATTCATAAAATATGATTTGTTTATGCATTGTTAAAACCTAACACACTTAGTTTAATTAGCAATATTTTTCTCTCAGTTGTAGAAAAGAGGTTTTTAGCTCGAATCATTCATTTTCTTAATAAACAATAACAAAAATGAATGCACTTAAAAATTTATAAGGTTCATATCTACCACGTGACTCTAGGTGACAAGGGAAAATATGAGGCCATTGAAAATGGGAATCCTTTTGGATATTTTCAAAAAGTTGACCTAGAGTCCCAGATAATATTTTCAAAAAGTCTCCAACTATTGTTCGCCAAAAATGGAGATCCTTTTAAATAAAGGAAAACTAATGGAAAAGACTTGAAAACTTTGAGTTTTAATGATAAGAACAAAATAAAGGGTAAAGTGAATAGTACCAGGATTGACTTTTTAGTGTAAAAATGTGGTTTTTCGTTAAAGTGAACAGTACCGGATACTTTTCGTTAAAGTTCCCTTTAAATAAAGGCTTATATATGCAAAACCTAAAATATCATCTAGGACTAGGTTGATGTGAATGATGGAACTAATGCATGCGGAAGCGTGGTGGAATATGATGACGACACGTAGCATCGATAAGACATGAAGTGAGTGTGACTAAAGTAAAGTGTAATGAGTTATAAAGAGAGATTCTCACCCATTATTGTAGAAAAGAGACAAAAGAGTATAATATTTCTTAGTCCTAGGTGAGGTTCGGGAGACATCCTCCCTTGCCTATAAATAGGTGTGCTTATGCTTTGTATTCTTAGACTGAGTTGAGCATTGAGACTTTTAAGAGGGCTTAGTAGTAGAGACTTGGTTGAGCATTCATACTTGGTTCACCAAGCATTGTAAGATATTGAAGTATCAATAAAGAGAGTTTGCTTGTATAATCCTCTTTGTTCAATCCTAATGTGGAGATCCTAGTGTAAAGCTTAGTTTCGTTTTAGTGTTAAGTTTTATTTTTAATTTTGGATTTTGATGATAAGACATGGTTTTGTAGGCCTGAGAGTGATAAGATGTAATTGTATTAGAGTACAAAGTTAGAAACAGCACTGCAATAAAGTATTACAATCTCACATCGGCCAACTTATTAAATTAGAAGAGTTAATTTGTATAAAAAGGGAAGCCCACCAACGAAATAATAACACCTTTCTCGGCCTTTTGGCTAAGATCAAGTGTAGTATCTATTCTTATCAGTTTAATATCTAATAGGTGGGCCAATAGTCCAGACGATATTAAATTAATTTCTTTAGGGTGAGGGCTCATTACAATAACTTGATATTGGAGACTTCGTGTGTTATCTAAGCGTTGCACCACTGCTCGGGCCTGACACAACCCACCAAATCATAGTTTAGTCTTTAACAGCCCAACCTAATTATGTTTTTTGTATTATCACAGTTTAGGTTAGAATTTAGAAGCCAAACGTAGCCCATTACTCAAGTATTTATTGGAACAATTGACAGTTCCCAACCAAAGAAACGGCCTCTCTTAAGTGCCTGAAGGAGATGCTCTGGATAATCCTTTATACAAGCAACACTGTGCTGTGATTCCACTGAAAATCCCAACTGCTGCATCAATCCCCTCGTTCACTGCACTCACCACTGACACATCCGCTACAGAGTCTATGCAATCAATCGCAACCAATCGTTTGTCAAGCAATTAACATCAATTTAATCCAATATCTATTCTCACTTAGTCAGCAAAAAATCAGTTAAATTTTAGTTAATTATCTCCGGCAAGAGTGTAAACCAGAGAAAGGTTCCTGATATCAACCACATCCTCGAAGCTTGCGCCGCAGATGAGCTTGACCCATTTGCCATTCTCAAGAGATTTTGCTGGAGAAGAGGTTTTTTATGGAATCCCAACAGTTCTTATGAGATTCTTCGCTTCTTCAAGGCCTTTGCTTCTTGTAACCTTCACTTTGGCTGAAATTTTTAGCACAAAACTTTACTGTTATAGAGAGAGAGAGAGAGAGAGAGAGAGAAGAGACCTTGGTGTTGGTGGTGAGGAGAAATTGAAGCATTGCAGAAGAAGCTCAAGGCCATCATCTCAAACATCCATTAACGGATAATTGTACGAAAATTTTGGCGGTTTGGAAATATCGCAAGAAGTTGTTAATCTGTTGGGGGCAACTTTCGGTTTTCATCATATTTCCCAAGAGCTGTAGTTTCAGTTATGTACTTTCACTAATTTTTTCTAGTTTTTTTATCTTATTAGCTTAATGCATTTGCTTTTCTGGGTATGCTTTACGGGAGCTGCGGAGAGGCCTTAGGTGAACTTGGGTTGAAGTACGAGGACAGACAGAGTACTTCGAAATAGTGCATTAGAATCCCACATCGACCACGGAAGAAAGTAGAAGAATGAACTGCGTATAAAAACAAATGCCCAATATTAACATAAGCATACCTTTCTCGGCCTTTTGGCTAAGATCAAGTGTAGTATCTGTTCTTATCAGTTTTATATCTGATACGTGGACCAATAGTCCACATGATATTAAATTAATTTTTTAAGGGTGAGAGCTCATTTTAGTAGCTTGCTACTAGAGCTTTCGTGTGTCGTCCAAGCGTTGCACTATTGCTTGGGCCTGGCACAACCCACCAAATCCTAGTTTTAAGTTTTCATTCCCCAACCTATATTAAGCAATACCAATCAATCTGTGTGAAGCCAATTTTGTAGCGATGTTCATTTTTATTTTGGACCTCCTCTCCTCGTCCCAGCTCGTATGTGCTTTTAGATTCTCTTCCTTTAATTTGCCTAGGGGCCTTACTTTTAAATTTTCACACAATGTTTCAAAAACGTCAAAACAGCCATTTTAGTTTGTCACTTGTATATATTATCCCCTTTTATTTCTCAAATTGAAGTTCCAATTAGCTTTTGGCAATACCATCTACACTTTGCTGTTTGTATACGTTTCATATCCCACATCGGCTGCACAAAAAACGTGGGAGAAACAAGATAAGTATAAAATACAATACAACATTACTTTAAATATGCATGTTTATTATTTAATTTTTAAGCACTTGTTATTATAAGTATATGAGTAAGTATTTTCTTACAAACTCAACACCTAAGTAGTAAAATTGGGACAATTTCTAAGCACTTGCTATTATAAGTTAGAGTGAGGTCGACATTTTTGCAGTGTTGTTGCTATTATAAATATGGCTGTATGAGGAAGATTAACTTTTTGCAATGTCAATAACAACCGTTCGCAAAAACAAATAGAAATCAAATGCCGTTTACTTTCACTAGTAGTGCTTTAGTTTGACATTAAATTTAAGAACAGATCTATGATTCTCTGTATCCATGGACTCTATTTCCATAATCCCATACCCCTTAAAGAATGTAAAATCCCCAGTCCCAGAAACAATTCCAAACTCTCCTCCCTCCATTGAATAATGGTTAGCTCCTTGAAATGCCAGATTACTTCCTCCATTTTCTCCATCCGTGGATATCACATTCTTAGTTTACCTTTATACAACTAAAAAACTACATCATATTCATAAAATATGATTTGTTTATGCATTGTTAAAACCTAACACACTTAGTTTAATTAGCAATATTTTTCTCTCAGTTGTAGAAAAGAGGTTTCCAGCTCGAATCCTTCATTTTCTTAATAAACAATAACAAAAATGAACGCATTTAAAAATTTATAAGGTTCATATTTATTACATGACTCTAGGTGACAAAGGAAAAAGATGAGGCCATTAAAAATGGGAAACCCTTTGGATATTTTCAAAAAGTTGACCTAGAGTCCTAGATAATATTTTCAAAATGTCTCCAACTGTTGTTGCCAAAAATGGAGATCTATTTAGATAAAGGCTTATATATGCAAAACCCAAAATATCATTTGGGACTAGGTCGATGCGAATGACAATTTAGCGGTTTCTCTGTCTTACCAAAACTTCTATGTGAAGAGATGGCCTAGTAACATGTCTCTAGAGGAAATCTACTTGGAAGTGGCCCAGATAAAAGGTCTTCCCTCAACTTATGCACTGAGAATAGTGCCAAGCGTTTCTCAGCCGAGGTGGGGGAGTTCATTGAACTAGAGGACCCAATGACGGCGATAGGGTTTCTAAGAGTAAAAAAAACCCTGGTTAATACTGGAAATCCATTCATCACGTGGTGCTGGCTACCAAGATCTAGAGATATGGACTCATGAATTGAATTTAGGTATGAACAGCTCCAAGACTTTTGTTACAAATGTGGAAGAATTGGGCATATCAGCACTTAGTGTTCATTTTAGCCCAACCGGGGGGAGGGGGAGGGCTTACAGACCAACGTTCCCTGAACCTAAAACCCTCTTTGTTGGCATCGCGAGAAGTAAGGAACACAACTGCTTTTTCCAAGTAACAATTGGTGGGACCTTACCACGTGAGGCTCATAATATAATTACGAGGGGTGATGGATTTGGGCATGGCTACCCTAATTTGATTAGGTCAGATACTCAAGCCCACCGCCCGGGAGGGGGGTGTAAGCATTCAAGACCTGGTGGAACAATGTATGAGGGATGGGCCTTGCTACAAACCCAAATTAGGTGAGTCATCTCCATCTGGTGGCCAACCTAGTAACCCAATAATGCAGGGGATCTTTGGAGACCCATTCCCAAATCTTGTAATCTCCAATATGGCTATTCCATGTGAGGTGGAGATGGCCCAAGGAAAGCCCAATATCTTTGAATAGATGGGCTTGAAGTGAAGCAATGACAAGAAGTCTTATCTAGGAGTGCAATCTCCTAAGAAAAATGCAAAAGCTGGGGAAGGCAGCATAACACAAGGAAGAAGGAAAAAATGTTGTTTTGATGGTATGTCCATGCGAGAACAGTGGTCTGCAGTTGAGAATGCAATCTTTGCAGAGGATGACCTGCAAGATGTCCCAGTGTTGGAAGAAGACAATATCTGGGACTACCTTAATGGTATTGCTGAGGATGAGAGTCAGGAGCGAAGGGTGGGAAAAGAACCCTGGGGTGGTGGCGGCCGACCTTAAACAATTGTAAAATCGATATGATGCACCTCTTATGGAACTGTCGTGGTCTAAGGTCGAACATGGTGGTTTGAGCCCTTCACGGACTCATACGAAAACATAGACCCTCTGTGGTGTTTTTATTTGAAACCAAGATGAAAAGCCATAGATTACAAAGGGTGAGAAGGAGAATGGGGTATACTCATGAATGGGATGTTCCACCAGTGATGACGGCTGGTAGGTTGAGCCTCTAATGGAACGATTCTATGGAAATTCTTATCAAAGTTGCGACTAAGAATTTGATCCATACCATGATACGAGAGAATGATCATTGTGATTGGTTTCAAGACTCATGGATATATAGCACTCCTTATAGGGCAGACAAGAGGGAGTTATGGGTTGGCTTACAAGGGTGTTGGAGCCCACTGCTGACCCTTGGTTTTGTGGAAGAGACCTTAATGAGTTCTTATGGGAATTTGAGAAATCAGGCGGCATGGAGGATTTGCACACAAGACCAAGATATCTTTAGAAGTTTATGTCTACTATGAGACTAATTGACTTGGGTTTTAGCAGCCCAAACTTCATATGGCAGGGCACTAGGAATAATAGCTTGGTACATGAACTTCTTGATTGGGGCCTAGTTAATGAAAGCTGGCAATCCCATTGGCCTAACACCTCTGTTGTTCATGGCATAGTGCATGGCTCAGACCACTGTCCATTAATCTTAAGCACGGAGCCGGCTATTCCCAAAGGAAAAAAACTTTTCAGATTCGAGGCCTTCTGGGCTTAGGTGGATGGGTGCAGGGTGGCGATTGAGAAAAGTTGAAGTATCATAGGTGGTTTAGGTGAGGTGGACCATTGGCTACAGCGCATTAATTTTTGCAAGGGGAATCTTCTGAACTAAAGTAGATCTCATTTCAAAGGAAACCAACATGAGATTAAAGGTGTCGCTGCTCTGCTAGATAAATTGGAGGAAAAGGACGAGAAGTTCTAGCATCAACAATCCCGTATCAAATAGCTACAAACAGGCGATTCGAACTCCCGCTTCTTTCACCAAACTACTATCCAATGCCGCTGCTTCAATAAGATTAAGAAAATGCAAGATGCGCATGAGAATTAGAAGAAGGGATTAGTCGATATCCAACTGGTGGTCAATGCACATTTCAAGTGTTTCTTCACCTCTTAGGGCAGTCGGGAATGGGAGTCGATTTTGAATAGTGCACAACCATATGTCACTGAGGAGATGAACTCTCATTTTTCGAGCCCGATTAATTTAGCTGAAATCAAGATGGTCATTTTTCAGATGGGTAGTCTGCAGGCCTCAAGCCACGATGGTTTCGATGAGGTGTTTTTCCACTCCTACTGGGATGTTATTCAAGGGGAGGTAAATGCAATGGTTCGTGCTTTTGCTAATGGTGATGACAGCCTAAGGAAGCTTAATTCAACCCATATTTTTTTCATTCCAAAAGTTACAAACTCGATTTTGATGGGACAATTCCGTCTGATTAGCCTTTGTAACTATTCATATAAAACTTATCGAATATCTTAGCTAATTGACTGGAGCCCTAGTTGTCGTCCCTGATCTCCCCGAGCCAAAATGCCTTTGTTGGGGGAAGATAAATTCAGGACAATATTCTAGTAGCACATGAGGTCTTCCACTTTCTAAAACTCTAAAAAGTCAAGACGAAGTTTGAATTAGCAATGAAGATTGATATGAACAAGGCCTATGACATCATAGAATGGGATTTTTTTAGAAACAGTTATGCTCCATATGGGTTTCAACCGGTGGTAAGTCAACATGGTGATGGGATGTGTATCCATGGTGTATTTTTTTGTCTTTATCAATGGGCAGCATGGGAAGAAATTTAAACCGTCGAGGGGCTTCCAACAAAGGGATTCTCTCTCAGCATACCTTTTCCTCATCGTGAGTGACGTCTTGTCTAGGCTAATACAAGGGTGGTGGAGGATGACTTTTTGAAGGGAATTCGACTTAGTATGCACGGCCCCACTCTCTCCCACCTATTCTTTGTTGATGATACCCTCATACTCTTGCAACTTCGATACCGAAATGTCAGAATTGTGAGGATCCTCGACTTGACACATCCTAGTCTCGATTCCGCCGTAGCACGATATTGTCCACTTTGGGCCCCGACCACGCCATCACATTTTGTTTCTGGGAACTCACACGAGAACTTCCTAGTGGGTCACCCATCCTAAGACCGCTCTCGCCCGAACTTGCTTAACTTCGGAGTTCCGATGGAACCCGAAGCCAGTGAGTTCCTAAAAGGCTTCATGTTATATGGAGGTGGGCATGTACATATAAGGCACATCACCCTTTTTTTGTTGGTTGATGTTACAATCCATCCCCCTTAGGAGCCCAACGTCCTCGTCGGCACACTCGCATCACACGGCAAAGTGGCTCTGATACCATTTTATCACATCTCAGTCTCGACTCCGCTATAACACGATATTATCTGTTTTGGGCCTTAGTCACACCCTCATTGTTTTGTTTCTGGGTACTCACACGAGAACTTCCCAATGGGTCATCCATCCTAGGACTGTTCTCGTTCGAACTCACTTAACTTCGGAGTTCCGATAGAACCCGAAACCAGTGAGTTCCCAAAAGGCCTCGTGTTATATGGAGGTGGGTATGTACATAGAAGGCACATCACCCCCTCTCCATTGGTAAATGTGGGATGTTACACGACTCTTATTGCTTAACGTTGGGACATGAGGTTAATATGCAAAAGTCATGTATTTTTTAGGGCCAACATCCCGTTCGCGACTCGGATGGAGTTGTGTGGGGTTTTGGGTATGCAAATGGTGGAAGACCCTGGATTGTATATGGGTATGCCAACGACTTGGGGTAAATCTAAGAGGTAGGCTTTGGCGTTTGTCAAGGATCGAGTTATTGCAAAAATCCAAGGTTGGAAACAAAATTTCTTATCCCAAGCTAGTAGAGAGGTGTTAATTAAGGTTGTGACTCAGGCCATTCCTGTCACGTTTCGATCTCGACACACGTCCAGGATCAACACATGACATCACTAAATACATGTACTTCTATCATACCCTGCTTTCGAGATATGAGCCATACACACTCTCACGATCCAATTGCGTAGTAATTTTTTGTATACATTATGGCTGCATTACGTACCCTAAACAGGGATCAAGCCATTCGTAGTTCGTCAAACACTACGCTCGACTTTTATCACAATACTTTTAAGTAGAAAATCATAGCACTCATCAATCAATTTTTAGAACTTGACAAGCATGAAATTACTAGTTTCAAGCTACATAGCAATCCCACATAACAATCAACATTTTCATTTCATCCATCACATAAATCATCATGTTTCCCATATAAATTCGCAGTTCATAGCATTTAACATATTAAAGAATCAACAAAGCACAATATTATTCTCTAGTCACAATGGTCAACTAATCTGATCGTAATAATAACAATCATATCCAACATCATTCCACAATCACTCCAATTAATCAATTCCATGAATCACATATGCACGATATTAACATTTAAGTACGTTAATCAGTCAACAAGATCACATATCAAATCACAAAATTTAATAAAGGAATTCAACATAATTCCCTACCTGGATTCCAAGTAATAACATGATAAATCCAATTTATAAACACAATGTCTACTGTGAACAATTTATATTCACTCGAATCTAGGGGCCAGACTAACTTTATGGAAGTGAGCAAGAGTAAGGATTTCAGACCACTCAACGAAATCCAACTAAACTACGGTCGCCTATTTCAAATGTACCAAGTACAACTAATCCTCATCACCCCTAGAATGCATATGGTCCCACATCGTAGATATACCAAGCAGAACCATAAGCATAATCTCATCGTGCAGACAGTGATCACCTATCGCGGATATACTAAGCATGATCACCCCTTAATACATATGGTCCCCCATCACGGATATACCAAGCAGAACTATATATGCATAGTCTAATCGTGCAGGCGGTGATCACCCATCGTGAATATACTAATCATGATCACCCATGAAATATGTATGGTCCCCTATCGCGGATATACCAAGCAGGACCATCCATGTACCACTGTTACACATCAACCCTAAGCCAAATAATAATTTTCATTATCTCATTCACACAGGTATGCCAATCATGTACACACATGCTTTCCACACCATTCCACAATCGCATCAATCTATATTATATACCAAGCATTAAAATGCAGGGCTAGCGACAATGTTCGGCCGAAACCTACATCTCTGAAGAATGGGATTTCGGACCACTCAATGAAATCCAACAACATCAAGTTTCGGAACACTTAACGGAACCAAAACACCAAGCGGGATTCCAGACCACTCAAGGGAATCGTAGAATATAAGGGTTTTTGGACCTCTCAATGGAATCCAAGTGGATACGATTCCGGACCACTCAACAGAATCGCGGAGTACAATAGATATCAGACCACTCAATGAAATCCAAGGTAAGATACGATTCTGGACCACTCAACGGAATCGCGGATCACGAGGGATTCCAGACCTCTCAACGAAATCCAGACGGAGCAAGGAACCAGACCACTCAATGGAACCCCAGCAGATACCCAGTTTCGGATCACTCAACGGAACCGAGCGAAAGGCCAAGAAACATATCAACGGCTTGAAGAACAAAACATGAACCAAGTGCTCAATTTACAAAGGCTTAACAAAATGAAACAAAGCACAAGTACTAAATTTAGAACAGATCAACGAAGCGAGAAATGAAACAATGAAATGGGATATGAAACAAGCTCTGAAACAACAAACCCCATGGCAATGGGTTAATGGTCCACTACTAGCCCTTACATTTCATCACATTATACCAATCATGCAAATCAAACCACATTTCAAATATGCACATCAATCACATTTCACAATCATCATCAATACAGAAGCCAAATCATGTTTAATAAATATAGGTCTATGGTTAAATATATAAAATCACATTTCAAATCACATTATAAAACCAAGTCATATTCACAAATAATACCAATATAAGAAATCATGGTAATAACCATATCACATATATTCAATTCACTCTCTATCCAATGTAGGCCCACTAGACTTCACTTAAGTTTCCTATAGTACTAATTTTAGTATTTAGAATGTTTCGAGACATGATGCCCAAAAGTCAACTCTCGGTCAAAGATGGGGTCCACAATTCTACATAATTCAATCCGGAAGATTCATATATAGGATTTCATATCCGTATCTTCCCAAGAGTCTCATTAAGATCGTAGAACAAGATATTTAAATCTCATTGTGATCCAACGGTTAGATCTCCGCCAATCACCAATTCAAATGGCGGTCAACAATTAGTTTTACAAACTTAGATATTCAATTCGGGAGGATCCGTATGTCAGATTCTCGATCCGTCAGTTTCTAATGTGCTCAAATATTATGTGCTATAACGCACTAAAGTTTGGAGACGATCCAACGGTCGAATTGTCGATTCGTATAATGATCAAGTGATGTATCATAGTGAAACTAGGTTCAAATAATCAAATCACATCATATGGATATCAAATATGAAATCAAGGCATCTAATTGGACTTAGAAAGACATTGTGGGTCCACTGGCCACCACGAGTGGCAGTTTCCAACGAACAGAAACCCAATTTTCCGACTAACTCCAAAGATTACCAAATTTCACAGAAATGTAGATCTCAATGAGTAGAGCAAATTTCATACCTATGACTAAGGCCAATTTGGCCGGAAAAAGCTCTAATTTCCCTCGAACCCCCCGGAAACCTTAGAAATGGGTGGCTTCGATCCATCACCTCCGGTGCTCCGTCGCCCCTACAGTTGTTTGGGCTTTGTTCCTGGGCTCGCTATAGGCGGTGGTGATCGAAGGGAATCATTTCAGAATTGGTCGATTGATGGCAAGGGACCCCCGCACCCACCCGTGCGGGTATCACAATTTCAAAGCCATTTTCATCAATTTTTTGGGTGGAATAGGTAAAGGGAAGGTCATGGAGTGTTTCCCAGGTGGTTGCTCGGCTTAAATCACCAAAATTTGGCTAGAGGAACCAACAGGTTCCATTGTTTTCGACCAGGTTGGGTCGCAAAAGGGTGCGGGTCAAAGATCCCCTGCTTACCCTTTCTCTCATTTCCCATCCTTTCTTTCTTTTCTCATTGGCTCTCTCCTACTGTCATCTGGTAGATTCTAGTCTCTTCTTCTTCTTCTTTTTTTCTTTAATACTAATTATGAAAAACCAAACTTTGTAACTAAATAATTAAAATTCTAATATTAACAAAAATATAGTTAATAAAACCTAATAGATATGAAATACGTAAATTAAATAACGAAATTCCAAGGACGAGATTTCACAATTCTTGCATATCCCATGAATGTATTATGCTTCCCTGAAAAATTGTGCAACGATATCGATTCGGCAGTTGTCAGGTTTTGGTGGGGCCAAAAGGAAGGGGAGCACAAAATCCACTCGGTTAGTTGGGCTTCTATTGGCTTGGTGAAAAGGAAGGAGGTAAGGGTTTTAGGAACCGGGATGAGTTCAACCTCGTCCTGTTGGCAAAGCAATGTTGGCGTCTAATACATGAACCCAATTCTCTATGGGCTCGAGTGATCAAAGCAAGGTATTTCCCAGACAGTATTCCAAGAGCCAATGCTAGAATATGTTACATGCTACTCTAAGGTGCAAGTACTCCGTTGTGTGCTGTGTGTTAGACCACAAGGAAGGGGAAGCCTAGCCCGAAAGTACATGGAGTAATGTGGAAGCAAGAATAATTCTTTCACTTTCTCCTCCGAAGTAATTTCGTTGTTGTGCTTTGAGATGCATAAACCCAAAACCACTTATATTTTTGTTTGATCGTTTCATCTGTCCCGCTCAGGTGAAGAAAATGGCTCATGTTGGCCAGGAAGTTGTGATCGTTGGGGGTTCACATCCATTGCATCGCCATGAGATGGAACGGAACGATCTGCTGATGTGCTTGCTGCTGGTTTACTTCAAGTGGCTGACCCATCTCCTAAGAAAATGATTTAGAACGAGAGAGAAGTTGGAATATATCAGAAATAGCTTTCTAGGCTGCATTATTTGTGCATCAAATGTACTCAGAGCCCAGTGCTGACTTCATCATCTATACTTTCTCACTCCAAATAAATATTTTTTTTAAAATTAAAATTCTTAAAAATAAAAAAATAAAATTAAAGGGATCCTCAGAAACCATGCTTATAGTTATCATCAATTCCATGATCAGGTCTCGAAGATTTAATCCATCATCGGAGCCCCCACTACGCAAATCCAAATTCTTCAACAAATCAATTTAATATAATATCAGATGCAAAAATAAACAAACAAACAGTCGGATGGAAAATAAAAAATAAAAAATGAAAAGGGGATTTGGCAGGGTGTTATTCACTGAGCCTGGTTATTGTTCAGAGGCGAAGCGACTCAACGTTCCTGCACAAAATCTACCTCCTCGTTCTTTATAAAGAACATAAACCCTAAAGATCCAGATTAATGGGATCCAAGGCTTCATCAAGAGGCGCACGATAGCAAACACCACGATACTTTCTCTCCATTTTTATCCCCAAAACCCAAAAAATAAAATAAAAAATAGCAGAAGGGGAGGGGAGGGAAGGAGGGTGTGTTTAGATACTGGAATTTTTAGGAAGGATTAGGGTTGTGGGGTGATGAAATGGTTGAGATTTATACTATGAAAAGCCCCTTCGTGTTAGTGATATTACGAATGAACCATTACATTAGGCTCACTTGGATTGGATCCAACATAAACAGCCCAATTTAGGAACTGCAAACCCAAAACTTCCTGGACCTTATTGGGCCTACAGAAAAAAAGAAGAAGACCAAAGCCCAAACGTTTGTGGAAATATAGTAAAGTAAAATATACCTTCCAGGAATCGAACCTAGAATCTGATTACGATGGAATTTATTGAGCCACGACAGTCACCAGGTGATGTGATACTTTTTGGTTCACTATTTAATTTTTCATGAGGATATAAAATGGTACAATCCAAATTAGATACCGTTTGAAATATCAAATGTGTTCTTTACCAAAAAAAAAAAAAAGTAATATCAACTGTGTTGTTAGTTTTACTTCTAAACCCTCTATATACAAATAATATACAGTAAACATAGTCAAGGCTCGTCTGGTAGCCACATTGGACTATTTAGATTTGATATCCTTTTGAAAGATTGTAATTCTCTTTGTTTTCTTTTTTTAACAAACGAGATAGTGTTAGTAAGTTAAATTACTAGTTGGTAGGGTGAAAGAGGGGCTTAAGTGGGTATCAAACTCGCACAAAAATGTATAGGCATAATTATTTTTCATCATTGCGATAACATGTCTATCATTGTAGTTTCCTTTAAATTACATTTAACAAAAAGTCAATGGTATATTCAAGAGAGAAAATAAGGGAATTAACTGTTAAGAAAATAAAAGTCAAATATATTAATAAGCCATAATATATTAAAAGTCAAGTATATTCAAGAAAGAAAATGGGGAAATAAACTTGTTTGTTTTTTTGTGTTTTTTTGGTAGAAGGAAATAAACTTGTTTTGGTAAGTCGGTTTATGCTACTAATTGGAGGTTTAAACTTAATCAAATGAAACCCTAATGCATCATTAATTCAATAATTACCACCATCTCATATCAATGTGGTATAATTCAAAGTTCAAACTTCACCGTAGAAATGGGAGATAAAGACATCTTGGTCTTTGGCTGGTTCTGCACCGCTCGGTGTTGTCAATCAAACTCCCAACAAACAAACAAACAAAACCTACCATTCCCCCCGATAAATTTTTAATTGTGATATAAATATAAATGGTACACCACGTATTTTAATAGAAGTAGTGAGAAATTTTACTTTTAAGTTATTAATTTTTTAGCACATATATCTCACAATTTATATAATAACACGTGATCTACCAACCCGTGTACTGGTCACACTGAAAAATCTCTCCGGTCCACCCACCATTCCAAAGAAACCCTAACACTCATGACGTCACTCTGTACGCATTAGTCACACGGAATTACCCACGTGGCAATTCACCATTTACTCTCGAAATCTTGTGAACCACGCAATTGTGGCACCAACCTTTTCCGTCTATAAATACCCGAATGGCTCTCACAAAGTCCAAGTTGCATTCCACAAGCTCCACGCACACGTTGTTTAACACACAGCCCTTTTCGCATCGCAATGTGTCCCTCCGGCCGAACGCTCAGCTCGCAGACGGAGACGACGGCGCTCACCTCCGACTTCCTTCCAGCATTCAACGTCCTGGACGCCGACCGCGACGGAAAGATCAGCAAAGACGACCTCCGAGCCTTCTACGCCGGCTTCTCCAGCTCCGGCGTTGACGAAAACCTCATCGGTTCAATGATGTCGGCGGCCGACTCCGACAACGACGGCTTCGTCCAGTACGACGAGTTCGAGCGCGTTTTGGCGGGCGGCCGCTGGCCGAGAAGCTCGGGAGTGATGGAGGACGTGTTCAAGGTGATGGACAAGGACGGGGACGGCAAGCTGAGCCACGAGGATCTGAAGAGCTACATGAGCAGCGCAGGCTTTGCCGCCAGCGACGAAGAAATCAAGGCCATGATAAAACTGGGCGGTGGCGATGAGAACCAAGGGGTGACTTACGCTGGCTTGCTTAAGATCCTGGCCGTTGATCAAGTCGGCCAAGTCCAAGTTGCCAGGTCTTAATTTTTGGCTTAAATGTAGTGATAATATAATTTACTAAATATTCGATTCGATAATAGATGGAGAATAAAGCTCCAGCAAGTTTTTCCCTGTATTTTCCGGCAAAGTGGTGGGAGAGGGGATTACGGTGTCGTCACAATCTTTGTGATGACAAAGCACAATTGATGGGTGGGTCCATGTTTCGTTTTGGTCTGTTTTGTTTAAATTTGTTTGGAATATTTTTTTTTATACTAAGCAAGTGTATTCAATTGAGAATTTGAGAAATTTTTGTGGATTTATGAATTTATGGATTTTTATGGAGTTTAATTGATTTGTAAAGATTTCATGTAAAATTTTGATTCAATTCCCTCAAAATCTCTTAGGAAGAGATGAGATTTGTGAATATTTAAAATACACTACAAAATCTCTCAAATTTTTTTTTTTAATGCTTTAAAATCAAATTCTAATTAAATATAAACTTCTTTAAAATCTTAATTGAATATGTTTGTACCATACTTGATCAATCCCGAAACTACTGAGCACTGGTCAACGTTATTTTGTCAAGGACCCAGAAGAGTTTCCCTCCAACCAGGAGGCCAATCATAGTGCGACACATGTCGACATTAGAAGCCAATCATAGCGCGACACGTGTCAACATCAGAAGCTAATCACAACACGACACGTGTCAACATCAGAAGCTAATCACAACACGACACGTGTCAATGTTAGAATGAAACTAGAAACTCTCTTCTATAAATAGAGATCATTCTCTCACAATATTTTCTAATGTCATTTGTGCTACATCATTCACTAGTACTCACTAAAGGAGAGCTTGAACCTATGTACTTGTGTAACCCTTCACAATTAATGCGAAATCCTCTACTCCGTGAACGTAGTCAATTTGAGTGAACCACGTACATCTTGTGTTTGCTTCCCTGTCCTTATCCATTTACCTACTTATCCACACTAGTGACTGGAGCAATCTAGCGAATGTCACAAACTTAACACTTTCTGTTATACCAAAATCCTCACTGATTTTGTGCATCAACAGAATACACGTGGATTCTAAGAATCCTGATTAAATACACATTGAATTTCAAATAATCACTTAAATTTCTGACCCTCAAAATCTCAATTGAATACACCCTCCTAATATTCAATGATTTTTCTTTGGATCTAACTTTAAAATACTTGGTGGCGACATATTGGCAATGAACTGCATACCTCAACTTTGTCTAATACTGCACACTGCGATTTGTCATCGCAAACTTTCATCTTTTAAATTAAACGGTCAAAATGATCAATTTTCAAATATCAGTTGTGGATATCAATTTATTAATATATCGTACACATTTGATTTGATTTATGTATCAATTTCGAATAAATTGTGATTGGTTTTGATCAGCTAAGAGATGATTTCTAATAATTTTAGTTGATCTCCTCAAAACAAAGGGCAATCCGGGCCGGATAAAGACAAGAGAGAAAGCAATCCGGGCCAGATAACCACGGCCGATATTTGCACCTACTTTCACAATGCACAACTGTGAGTCTCGCCAGTTTCTATTGGAGGCCAGCTACGAGCAGGAAATGATTTTTGTTGATGTAGGAAAAACGATGTTCCACTTTAATGCTACGTAACATTTGATGGTCTGAATTTACGGAACCACAATAAAAGTAATAAAGCCAATCAATCCAAGCCATCAATTCTACGTAGCAGGGAAAAATTTCTGAAATGATGAATGATTTCTACATGTAGCTTAATTCCGAAAAACCAGTAGCTGTATCACTTCAAGCCCTACTATGTCACCCCCCCCCCCCATCCCTCCCCCAAAACCCCTTCCACTAACATCGAAAAGAATACCAATTGCGCACAACGAATAGTCTTAGCCAATAATAAATGAAGAGTACATACAGATCTTGCTAGGGAGAAAATCGCTCCCCTAACTTGCACATTGATAGTTTCTTTTGAAAGAAAGGCACCGCAACATCAATAGTTTCCAAACAAATGTTGTAAAGCAGTAAGGCGGAGAGACTGCGGCATCATCTTTGGTTTGAGGATTTCATCATTTTCAACATTCTACGTAGAAGCACTGGATGTTGCTCAGAAACTCACTCCCATGACTTGCATATTCTTTTTAGCTTCTGAAGAAACCGGTCGAGCAATGAGGTGCTAGATGGTGCTCAGTATAAATCAATCTTCCCTTCCTCTACGAATTTCTTCACTGCTTTATAACGTACAAAGTATAACACATTAGGCTCCATTTCAAACGGTTCATCCAATGGTCTCTGGCTCGCACTGTCACAAGGGGAATTCAAACCCGTAAGCAAACAAAACAAGAAACAACAGTTTCTTCTATGAGAGTAAAAATGTTTATGAATATATGAGTTGCCTGCTATCTGATTCTCCATCTGCATTGTCCTCGAGCTGGATATGTCCAAGATAGTACTTGGTTTTGCAAACAACAAAAGTATCCAAATGTGGTCTCGGCACTGAAAAGTCGAACATAGAACATTGTTAGGGTTCAGAAGTCCAATCTACAAACTGCCTACCAGATGATCAATAAAAAAAATCTGTTTAGTAGAAAATAGTATGCAGTTAAAGCAATCTATTCGGTTAAAGCAAGATATCAAGAACGGTAATAACAGAGGAAATACCAAGTCTACGAGGGAAAGCTAAGAATTTGTCAAACAAAATAATGCATTTGTTTCTGATAAAAACTTCATTATTAAACACACAAAAGGTCTGCAAATAAAGAAAAAACAGTAGGAAAAAAAAATCCTTGGTTCAATACACCAGCTTGTCATTGGATATCTCACCGCGTGCTAATGTTTTAAATTTTTTCTAAGCAACAATACTGACCATTTATCACATCAAAATTTATAATAGTATAGAGCAAGTTATGTGGATCTGCCGAACAATATCAGAAAATGCAAGCATCTTAGGTAAATTGTCGAAAAGGCCACCACATAACTAGATATATTTGAATGAAAACTTTAAGCATTAACCATAGCACTGAGCACAGCATTTGGAACTGATCTTGGGTAAATGAGCTGTTACCATAATAGATACACATGCACATATAGGGTGGAGAGAGAACAGAGATGCATCACGAAAATCCAAAAGGATAATGTGAATGTTTACCCATGTCAGTCTCCTTTTCACTTGATTGACGGAATACAGACTGATAAGTAGAAGGCAACTGCAACAGAACGCTCTTTTCAAGATGCGTCTGCAAATCAGCACAGCATCTGCAACGAATAACCATGTCAACTCCAAATCAGAGTAAGCCTTAAGCATGTGCGTCCATTAATAGAACATAAAGTAATGAGATAGTTGGAACCCTCACCTTTCAACAAACACCTTCTCCTTCTCAGAGAGACGGCTTTCGGCATTATCCCGGATGTGAAACATGTATTTCTCAATCTGCAAAACGAAGTTACTTGAGAAACAAATCACAAAGCAGAACCAACGCGGACTTGAAAAAACCTGTCCTACTTAACATCATGAAACATAGTGAATGCTCATCTCTCTAATAACGAAAAAACAAGCAAAGAAGCATACAGTTGATTTCAAATGCAATGAAAAAACAAAACCAAAACACACACTAAGAACAAGGAGAAACGATTGCTACCTTCTGCAAACGAATTCGGAAATAAGATCGCAACAAGAACTGCGTCCTGTCCAAATCCATCTGGTAGAGGACACAGTAAGCGGATCAATACCACTATCAGTGAACTCCTCCACAGTTTCTTCCTGTCATATATATCCAATTGGGGTTAGCAATAACACAAAAACACAAATTACTAGCACAAATTTCACCAAATTAACACGGTAAACTAACAGTAAGATTATTTCTTCACTCTCTTACCGAATAATTAAAGTTAAAATAAAAAAAAAGGAACAAAATCAACATTGTATTCAATTGAGAATTTGATAGACTTTAATGGATTTTTATGGAGTTTAATTGATTTGTAGAGATTCCATATAAAATTTTGATTCAATTCCTTCGAAATCTCATGCGGAGATGTGAGATTTGTGGATGCTTAAAATACACTACGAAATCTCTCCAATTCCCTCTAATTCCTCGACTTTCTCAAATTCTTTAAAATCAATTTCTAATTGAATACACTTAGAATGTTATAAATTTCTTTAAAATCTTAATTGAATGGTCCCAAATTTCTAAGGATTTTAATAAACTATCTTAAAATTCTAATTGAATACCCCTTCAATTTCAGAAAATCACTTAAAATCCTAATTGAATACCCCTAGATTCATTAAAAGAATTAAAATCCCTCAAAAATTTCAACTGAATACTCTCCCTAAGTTAACAGTTCTCCTATATCCACTACGGGCTCATAACTCAACTGGTTGAGCGTTTATCTGAATCCGAGGTCCTATTCGATTCCCAAATATCGTATGTATCGACAAGAAATAAACATTTCTCCCGTATTCATTTAATTTCCAATACAAATATTTTTGTAGCTCAAATTCAACCAACTCAAGCATGACAGTAAAAAACAGAAATTAGGGTTTTGTTTGTTTTGGATTTAGGGAAATTTACCATCAATTGGATCTGCTCTACGATTCTCCGAACCAAAGCACTCTCGAACTGAAGAATCTCCGGAGCGGACTTCTCCTGCCGCCACGCCCTCTTCAGAAGCTCCACGTCCGTCTCGTAATCCTCCGTTGATCCCGAATCCAAGCCCGAGTCCAAACCCGAATCCATTCGATCCGATTCCCAAATTTTCCAGGATTCCTACTCTCTTCGCTAATTCTCTCTTCTTCTTATGAGTCTGGAGGGAAACAAAAACTAATTGAGAGGGAAATGTGAATCGAAACTGGCGCCAAAAAGCTAATTGTTTCTTTTTGGAAAGTAAAAGTAATTCAGAAAATAAAAGGGAAGGAAAGAAAGAAAGATAAGGTGTTGATAGAGGAGACTGATCACGAGTTTGTGCGTGAATCTAACACCGTTGGATTATCTATCAAACAGATGGACGGCTAAAAGGGGTTCGATTCACGCACAAACTGGAGATGTGTCCCGTCTGATACGATCTGATGGAGAATATGGGAGAATGGATATGAAGAAAAAGGGGTTGGGAAATGTTTGCCATTTATAGAAGGGGGGATTGGGAGAAGGAGATCGACCGACACCCACCTCGCGATTTGAACCAAACACTTGTGTGTTTACGTGTACCCCAAAATACTAACGTGGAAACCCACTTGAAATTTAGACTCTCCTTTTTTGCTAAAAAATAAATTTTATTAAGGTAAAGAGAATTTCCAGGAGCACCTGGAACTCATACAATCAAATAAAAGTGTTTAGTGAGCCTCACTAGGAAGCACCTTATCCTAAATACAAATATTTTCAACATTAAGACCAAGGGAAGTAATGGCATCTGCGAGGAAATTAGCTTTTCTAAAACTTGTTGCCACTGAATATAATTAAAAGAGTTCGCCAGCTATGTTATGTCCTTAATAATAGTTCTGAATTGAACCTCCAAGAGATCTTGCAACGGTCAAGAATCCCATCATTTACCATCTTGGGATCACATTCAATCATCACATCTTTGATATTTCTCAACTGATCTTCATCTTCATTATAACATAAAGGTCAATTAGGCGAGATATTTAGATTGAATCCACTCAATCTTTTTGTAGTTTGTAGTCTTTCACGAATAAGAATCCAACTAAAAGTTTAACTTTATGTGGAATAGAAAGTTTCCACATTTTTGCTACAAACCTCACTTCTGGTGAGCATTTCTACTTTCCTCGATTTGGATCCAAGCTATGGCGGAGTCAGAAACTTCTCTTAGGAGGGACGTTTGAGAAGTATAAAGAAATTAGACCAAACATAGTAATATATTGGAGAAAATTTTAAGGTCTCTTCTTTTGCTTTCTTTTTTTAGCATGGAAAATTTATCAAACAATAGTGATGGGGATTCAAATTTTTATGAATAGTATTGAGATGATTATATCATAAGAACTCAAAAAAATAAGGTCACAACTCAAAAAATATTACTATGAGATTTTAATTTCAGCATAATTAATAGGATTTTGCTCTAAATTATATAGAACTTGTCATATATGAACAAACTAAAAAAAGAATTAATTTTTATTTGGTGAAAAATAGAAGGCTAATTATAAGGTTTAGTTTAAAAACAAAACAAAGGTTGTTGACACCAAGGCACTACAAGCTCTAGATTGCAAAACCTAGTGGACAACAAATATAGATTCGTAAAATTTCAGGATGGGCCTGGGCTTAAGATTCCAGTTGATATTTAATCTCTGATCTTCTGGGGCAAGATGGAAAAGTGGGAAATGAAAAATCCAATTATAGGTCCAAAACTTACCGTTTTGACCATTTCTTAAAACTCACCTCATCCCCTTAAAAGAGTACATTCCTAGCAGAGAGGATTCTCTTTCATGCCAAAGAATGATTTTGCCGAAATTTAGTGGCAAGCAAGTACAGTATTACGGTAAGCTCATTGTAAGGTTTAGCCTACTTCCTCACATTTTTAGTGTAGATATCATCGTTTGTTCTAAACAATATATATTTTTTTGTATAATTGAAAGAAAAGAAAAATCATGAGCATTGAAGTGATTTTGCAGAAAAAAATTTGTTTTTTTTCTTTCCTTCTCACATGTTATCAAAGCATGTCTCTAATTTAAGAATAAAAATAACCGACGTTTCACTCTTGCTCTTTCTTTCTCTCTCACATTTCTCTCTTACTTTTCTTTATTTCATATTATAATGTTTTTTGGAATTGTTACTGGCACTCTAAACTTTCTATAGTTAGAAAGAAAAATACATTTGTGAGTTAGAAAGAAAAATACACATGTGAAGATTGTAGAATAAAACTTTATAACAGTTTTTTTTAATTATATTTAGGGCCCCCATCTAGCATGTTCTAAGCTTTTTCAACTTTGTCAAGCACGATGAAAGTGCGTAGTTGGCCACTACGGAAGTGGACTCCACGAATAAATTGGTAACAAAACGATTTACAAGTTTCCAGACATGTTTTTGGTTCTTTGTTATTGTTTCTATACGTTTTATCCCCATAATAATAATAATAAAAGGTCTAAGTGAATTATGAGTCTATGTAGTAATAGAATAGTCGGAAAATAGCCTATACGATGAAAATAAAATAAGGATTTAAGCTCATGTGATGAAGTCTAATATGATTTAGGTTTAAAATTGAAATTTCCGTCAATTCTTCATTAATTATTAACACGTGAGTTACACATATAAGGGTTAAATAAAACTCTCCGTTAATTGTTTGTGAGTTTATATGTGAGACTAACTTTAGCTAAATTTATCTTTTTAACCTTAAATGTGAGTCTTATGTATTAACAATTAATAGAAAGTTACGAAACTTTTAATTTTAAACTTAAATTATAACAGATTTCATCACATAAATTTAAATTCTAATTTTTTTTACGACATAGACTATCTTCTAACTATTCTATCACCACGAAAACTATTAATTCAATTAAGCCATAAAATAAGCTTTGTGAACTTGTAAAATAAGAGAGGCGAGGGCCTCCCTCCAAAAGCCGTTGTGATTTGTATATGAAAATCGTGCGAATTTAATAAGCGGCAGTCTGCAATGCGTAGTTAAGCATTCACAAAAGTTTCAGGATTCACGTGTTATGGATCAGTCTTGTCTATAAGGAAAAAGACAAGATAGCTTAGAGCCTTACAAACGTATGCACCGCTGTACGTATGTGATACTTTTTTAGTCGGCTAATGTTATTCATACCATAGTTTTATACTATCTTAGGTGGTATCTGATGTGGACAGCTACATTATTTGAAAAATTACAAAACCCAAGGAAATGAATAAGAAAGACTCCTCGTATATCACAATCATCATTTAATTAACTAATTTTTCTTAATTATTAGCTTATTAAATAATAAACTAAATTTAAAAATCTGATTAATTCAAATGATGTGGCTATCCACATTAGATGTCACCTAAGATGTTATAAAAATGTGGTATAAAAATAAAGTATGAATATCATTACTCTTTTTAGTCTTAAGTGGCTAGTTTATGATTTTCCAATGATCTAGATTTGAACACTTTCTAAGCTTCTACCCATGGAATTAAATATCGATATTATCGGCGAAATATCGCCGATAATATCGTTTTTTTCCAACAGCGATATTTTCAGAGTATTCCAATTGATTATCGTGATAATATCGCGATATTATCAATAATATCGATAATATCGCTCTCTCTATCTCCGTCGTCGGAATCGGAACGGCAGCCGAGCTCCGTCGTCGCAGCTGCCAAGATCTGCGCCTCTCACATGTGGTGATGGTGCTCGCCGGAGTGTGCGCCACGGTGGAGGTCACGGTGTCGTCCGCCATTCTCGCAGAGGTGGGAGAGAGAAGACTGATGATGTGTGGTCACGGCAAGATGGTGTTGCTCGAGTCACGGCAAGATGGTGCTGCTCGAGTCACGGTGGAGGTCACGGCAAGATGGTGCTGCTTGAGTCACGGCAAGATGGTGCTGCTCGAGTCACGGCAAGATGGTGCTGCTCGAGTCACGGTGTCGTCCTCGAGCTGCTTGAGTCGAGCAGATGGTGCTGCTGCTGTGTGTGTGTGTGGTCACGGCAAGAGAGGGAGAAAGGTAAGAGGATTTTGAGAGAGTGAGAGAGAGAGACAGTGCAGAGAAGAGAGAGAGAGAGGGTCGAAGTGAGTGAGAGAAGGAAATGGCTTGGTCCCTGGTGTAGAAGTGGGATGTGTGTGTGTGTGTGTGTGTGTTATTGAAGTGTGTGTCTGTGCGTGTGTGTGTGTAGAAGTGGGATGTGTGTGTGTGTGTGTTATTGAAGTGTGTATCGTGGGGTGTGTGTGTGTGTTATCCGAGAGAAGAAAAAAAAAATCCAAACCTGCTTTCAAAATATCCAGCCCATGTGTCAGTCCGTGTGTGTTATCCGAGAGAAAAAAAAAATACAATGTATAAAGTGTAAAATATTGTACTAATTCATTATATATAAATGATTATGGTGTGTTTAAATTTCTTTCATTAATTACTACATATTTTCTACACTCACAATGTTTGACAGCTCGCTATATAATCAACTTGATAATGTTAAATCCATCATGCAATGCATTTCCTTCCAATTTTTTGTGATAAACTAATAGATAATTGACTTAATAGACATCCTGCAAAGTTTCAATAAAAATTTCCAAGTTTTTCTTACAATTTCCGTGGTTTCCATGTAATTTTTATCGATATCGATATTATCCCGATATTTCCATCGATATTTCCGTGTTTTCGGACTACCGATATTTCCGATATTACCGATATTTTCTTCCTTGCTTCTACCACACATTCATGGTTACAATCTTTTTCATATTTTTTTTTATCATTTTCCTCAACTTTTAAAAGTTAGTCTACAGGAGCTTTTGGTTTAAATACCAAATTTAAAATAATTTAACTTGAAATATTATATTTCTAGTTTAGGTATAAAGTCAAATAATTTGCTAGTTAAAGCGACAATAATGCTCAACCTTAACATCATTAAGGTGCATAAGCATGATTATTTTACATAACTAGATTATAAGATTATTTCCGATTGATTGATTAGGAAAGTAAATTTACAAACTAAATCTTATGGAATATATTGCCGTTTATTCTTCATAGGCTTTTGGTTGGTTTTTTTTTCTTTTCATGATCCCATTGTTGTTCCTAACTCCGCCACTGACTTCAGTGCTGCACGCGGTTCATTTTCTAATGATGATGACAAACTAGATACGATGGTGTTGATGCAAAATTTGATTCAACTTTTATTAGGAAGGGAAAATTTAGCAATGTCGCCAAACTTACAATCTTCTTTTGATTTGCGCTTTGACTTTTAATTAGATTTGAGCCTTGTAATTAAATTACTCTACACTACAGAGAGTGAAAAGGTTTGAACTCAGAACACTTCGAACCAAGAGAAAGACACCCAAGCCCCAAGAAAAATCGAACCGAGGCATCTTTTAAAACATCCTTAACTGAATGGACGTAATAACCCTCAACTTAACTGAAAGTGGGCCTTTAGTTTTTCTGAGCCCATCTTTAGTTTAATTGGGCCATTTTGTGATGGACCTTTTCTTGTGTCTCTTATTTTGTCTGCATCTTAGGCCCATATATACCATCATCTTCCAAACGTGCTCATTAAAAGGAAAGGAAAATCAAAACTCGTTTTTCTCCCGCCAAGCAAACGAACTAGAGAAAATGAGAGAGAACCGAACACCGCTCAAGGACCAATCCCGACCTGCGAAGCTCGCGACTCCCGTTCCCAAGAAGAAGGTACGATTTCGAAACCCTAATAGTTTCCTCACCTCAACATTCGATTTCGATCGACATTTCTGATTCGCCGAGTTTCTCTCGCAGATTCCGAAGAAGAGCTTGAACACCGTCTTTTCTGCAGTTTCGGAAGACGAACCGGTGGATAATTTCAAGGTTTCAGTGGATTCGACTCCGATTTCTGAGAATTCCAAGATTTCAGTGGATTACACTCCGATTTCTGTGATTTCTGATGTGGATTTCAACGAGGTAAGCTTCAATTTCAGTCCGATTTTTTTTTTTTTTGATTTATCGGTTTTATTTCTCTTGATTTGTTATACGTTTTAGCTCAGGTCGATTGGATTTGAATCGATCTTAATGTGCCTGTTTGGTTACTGAGAAAATGTCCGAATGAAATGAAATATCTGAATATTTCTGTTGGTTTGAAATTGAATGTGTAATTGTGATTGTGAGGATTTTAATTGCATATTTTATCGTTCAGAGTCTGATGCTGGTGCCGGATCCAGCTCTGTTGATGCCATCAGAGACATTGCTTCCATCCAATGTCTCACTGTCTCCGGAGGCCAGTGTTAATATGGACGGGCTGGGCAATGTCTCTCTGAGTAGTGGTAAATCAAGCGAATTTGATGGCTCAAACTTTGGTTCTATGGAGGCCGACATTGTAACGAGATTTCTCAGGCAAGCGCAGACTCAGGTCTTGAATTCCGAGGTGGATACTAAATGTAAGAAGATTCTGGATGCGCTGGTTGACTTTGTCTTAGAGGAGCTCCATACTTCACCTGCAGAGAGGGACCGGGTTACTGAACTTCTGTCGACAAAAGTTTACATAACAATGGCGTGTTTCGTGCTCTGGATCATTGCATTGTCTGTCTGGGCGTTCAGCTCTGGACACCGAAGCACCTTTCATGGACCTCTGCCAACTTGAGCAGTAAGACCTCTTGTCTTGGGGCTTAGTGGTTTAGCTTTTATTCTTCCAATTTGAGCTGATTTAATACTCTTGTTCTTGGCATTGTGCTCATGGTTGTGGACATGCACAGTTCACAATGGATAGTTCTATCAATGTCTGAAATATTAGTTTTGTGTACACATATATATGCTCATGGCTTTAGTATGGATAGTTGTCCACTCCTATCCAATTCTAGTCACCAAACGAGCCCCAAATGTGATATTCTAGTATCCCCAATCCAATCTTAGTAATTTTTTTTTCCCGTGACTATTAGTCTTTCAGCGTGCCAAACTTCATTAGTTTGTGACTTGTCATTGGAGATCTACTCATTTTTACAAGGACATTCTTGAGCCCTTCTGTTGTACAATTCTTGTTTCTTTTCTTTTGGCCCACAGAAATAAGTTAACATGTCCAAATTTGAGTACTGGGTTGAGCCCAGATTTGGCCCATATGTACACATGGTCCACATTTGTGCAATCTTATCAATGCATTGAAGAGGGCTTTGATGCCCTAATGTTAAGTTGTTTAGGTTAATGCAAGTAAAAGAACTCCTGATATGATCTTCTGGTTTTCCTTGTCTGGAAAATCATTCTGAAAACTAGTTTGGGTACCGTACTTTTCATGACACATAACTAGGTTTGACACCGTACTTTTGACGACACATAACTAATTGATTTAAATTTAACCAAGTGAGTATGATCAAGGATTTTAGTTAAATGGTTCTGTGACTTCTGTCCGTCGTCTAGAAGTTATGGGTGCCCCAACTATGACATTCCAATATACTAAACATTTGAATCATCTTCTGTAATTATTGGTAATGCCAAAACGGGTTGCTTGAGCCCCCCTGTTTATCCACCAACTAGTTTGCTTAATTTGTCATTCTGTTAGGATTGGGGTTTCATGGTGCTCATCATTTTGTCTGCTTAATTTGCTGTTTATCGTTTTGTTTGCTCTCTACCTGTATCGACATATTTGGAAAAAAAGAGAGGTGGAGTATGTGTTGATTGCTGATTTACTATAGCTGAATCTTAGTAATATGTTAGATAAAAAAATATATATATATATCCACTTGGTGAATCTGGTAGAACACATTCTTGAATGGTTGAAATCATCATTCATTAGCCAAGCTAGGTCTGTGATGACATAAGCAATGCGATCATACCATCTTAAAAAATCTGTTAAAACTAAACTATGATAGTAAGTTGAATTTCAATTGGAACAAGGGGAAGAAAAACCAGTCAAACCTTAGGGTCAAAGATTTGTTCTAATTTACAGCACTAAACAATCTTAGAGAATAGAATAATGGAGGGGAGGTGAATTTTTAGACGACAGCTATAAGTTGGTTTTTCAAAGCTTGTCATCCTTCTAGTTATTAATTATTTCCTTCTAGTTAAATCTTTTGTCTTTAATCCTCATAAATTGACGGCAGAGGCCTAATTGCTTTTATTTTAATGTAACAAGGATTCCGGAGAACAGATGAAGAACGGGATAAACTTCTACTGTGAGAGCAACTTGCTGGAGGGGACCAATCAAATCGCACCGACGAAAGGTCCGCAGGTAAATGTCTTGTTTTTAAATCTTGAAAATAATTTTTAGTTTAGTGACGGTGAAAGAAGGAGAGAGCTAGCTCTACTTAAAATCAAAGATTCTGATTTGGGTATAATTCCCAAAGGAAGGAGAGTTTGTTGTTGTTTAAAGTAGTGATTAGCATAATTAGAGGGAAAAACACTAGTTGCCATGGATGAAGATTCTGTGTTGAAATCATTGGTTTGGTTATGTTCAATCTTCCCATAAACAAATTTATCTTAGTGCCAAAAACCTAGTTTAATCACATAGTAGGGCATATATAGGTGTCAAATTAACATATCACAAGTTTTCTTTTGTTTCCTTAGAATTTAGTTACATAATACTTATTGGAGAATAACTTACATGTAACGGGCTTCTACTTTTGTCTATCTGTATCTCTTATCATGTGATTAGTGACATTCTAGGAGATGCATAAATAGTGGGAATAAATTCTTTAACCACATCTACTTCTCTCTTTGCATCCCACATCACGTGATAAGCCACATCTCGAGAGATGCAAAAAGAGAAGTTTTTGCCGACTAGGTTCATACAGTATTTACTATAGAGATTAGAGATCTAAAAAGATAGATAGATAGATAGATATTTAGTGATAAGCTAGTGAGATATTTATAATCATACTTCACACCAAACCACCACAACCATTGGTCAGGATTCATTTCCGGAACCCTTGATTTGAACCCATATTATTCACCATCGCCTTCCAACCTTCAACATTCATATGTACCCATCTTTAATTTTTTGGGTTTTGTCTTTTTCCATCCCCTCCCACTTTTTTGTGCCTCAATTGTTTGATTGTGTCTGTCACAGGGGAGACAATCCCTCTGGTGCATCATAATGCCACCTTGTGGTTGGTTTTTTTAATCTTTCAAAAGCATGTTTTAAGGTTTCTTAGTATACAATGCCCCTCAAAGGGTTGGGAGATAACACATGCCCACCATGATTTATGATGAGAATTAGGATTAGGTTCATGATTAACAAAACTTTAAGACATAAGCCAAACTAATCCCAAAACCATAAGTGATATGCGCTTCTGGACCTTCGTTTATCCCATTGTCAAGTTGTTAGCACTATCTGTCGTTAAAAAAAAATTGTTTATTTTTGGTTTTGGACCAAATAATTGTTGCTAGATTTGGCATTGGAATTATGTCTACGGTGGTGTTCCTCCGACTTGTGCCCGATGAAATGTTCCTTGGATAAGAATCATAGGGGTAAATTAGGAAAATTCATTGTTTTTTTATTTTCAACATTTTTGCTATATTTTAATTTTAGAGTTTAAGATTTAATAGGATGAAATCAAAGTAGAGTCGAGAGAAATAGGATTGTCCAGTTGTGTTTTGGTGCTTGTATTGTGTCATTCATGAAATATGTTATGCATGCGTTAGAAGTTAACACAAGTTATGGTAAGGGAGGAAAATAAAATGGATTTAGATATTTGGAGTAAATGGTTGTTCAATTAGCTATTTTATTACCCTTATGTGACAACTTAGCTAGTTCCCATAGTTATGCTTAAATTTCACATTGCACTATGAAATTTACAACGCTTCTTTGGCCAAATGTTTTGTGTCTCAATTTGTCATTCAACATCAATTCCGTCAACAATTCCGTCAAAATCGAAGACGCAACTCTCTAATTTTTTATTTTTTTTCACTTGGGTGCCATGTTAGTGATTTTGACGGAGTTTTTAAGGGAATTGATGGTAAGAGGTAAACTGAGATATCAAACATCGATCAGGAAAGCAATGCTATTATAATTTTCGGTGAGCAATGTGTAATTTGACCAGCTCTACAACAGTTCTATGGGTTATGGAAGCCAACAAAAAACAAAAGAGGGTTTTCTCTTACTTTAAGAATATAAAACGATAATTATGTCGCAAATTGCGATTATGGTATGAAAAATATCTTGTTTTCTTAACAAAATAAAAACATTAATAAAAGGAAGAAGCCCTGTCGGAAGGAAATGCGGAGGTGGAGTTGGAGCATAACTGCCCACACCTCAGAGGAGGAAAACTCCAAAACCATTAACAAATACAAAAGAAAATGCCAAAAGGGGGATTTTCTTAAAAATGAGATATTTAATTAACTTTCTGATACTTTGTGTTTTTTCGTAATACTTTATAATATTAATACAAAAATTAATAGTAAACTATAAAATGCAAATAATTCATAAATAATTTCGTTTTAGACTCCCTTAGCATTTCTCGGTACAAATACAAAGGCCTGGGAGGGATACCAAAAGTGCCAGAGAAAGCAACCCACATTGCACATGGATTTCCCCTTTGTTTATCATTTCTTTTCTGGATCACCACCATTCAGAAAATCATTGCAGGGAATGAAAACAAAACATTTTATGTGGGACCCCCCCGACCTGGTCAATTAGTGGAAGCCAACACCACCACCACCCAGCCAATAAAATTGTTACATTTATATGCCCCCTTAATCTTAATCTTCAATCTTCAATCCTTAATCTATACTTTCATCATGTGTATCATTAATTTTTTGGATGGCGTTTGTTGGGTTAAGTTTCCTCTTCAATCAAATTCTAAATTATTTTATTTGGTGGCCTTCCTTTTCATTGGCAAGTGTTACTTGTCACTAAATCAAACTTTGTTTTTTCTCTTAATTCTTTTTTGAATTTTTGGTATTACTTCTCACTTTTTCTTGAATTTAAATGTTCCTTGGGTTTTGGATTTTGTGTGTTGGCTTAGTTTAGCTACTAATTAGGAAGATAATTAATTAATTAAATTATTCAAGTTAGCATAGTTGTGTGACTTGTATTCTTCTAGTTTAGATGTTAAATTTAGGTAAAGGGCTTGATCACAAAAGGGACAATGGCAAAACTTTGTTTGTCAAAGGGAGGTCATTTAGGTATGCCATACAACTTTCAGTAAATTTTAGGGCATGTTTATAGCCTAATAGGTTTAAAGGAACAAAATTGGACCTAAGCAAAGAAGGGGCAAGGTTGATAGCAATGCATAACAAGATCAAATTTGTTGGTTTATGATAAACTTACTGCACTCAACTTAAAACTAATTGATACTAATTTTTTACAGTTTTTGAGTTCTTTTGTTTCCATCTTAGTTAGCTTGTCATTTATGATTGATTTGGAACTAAAAGTGTGGTTTAATCAAACTTAGCAGCATAAAACCACATGTAGACAAATTAAGATAAAGATACGCACTTTTATGTATAAGAGAAATTTCGTTGCGTTTGAATACAAAATTCAAACATTTGTCATGTCTTTTATTATTAACTTAAACTATTTATCTAGTCATATTTCTTTTCACATGTAGAGAAGTAAAATTAAATAATTACACAATCCTATTTCACCATTAGTCTATTACCCATATGGTATTGAGGAAACAGTTCGTTAAAAAAAATTCAGAAGAATACTTTAGTTAGTTAGACTTTATATAATGCAAGAAAATGAATTTTGAAGGGAAAGGTTATTAGAACGCTTTATCGTATTTCGCAAGTGATCGATTATTCTGATAAATAAGATTATTCTGTTTAATTAACTGCTTACCGAGTTTAAACCGGCGCCCCTCCTTAATGGTAGATTAGAGTATATATCGGTAGTAAAAATGGTATTCGGAAAAAGAAAAAGGAAGAATAAATCTAAGAAACGACACTTCCCAACAATAACTAGTCAGTGCGTTTAAAGAAATGACGCGTGCTATCTTTTGATTCCTTTATAAGCCTCCTCTCACCGTTCCTCCTCTTCTTAATAGTCCCCACCCTCTTTCTGTCTCTCCCTACTCTCTCCATCCCTCTCCCCCCCCCCCCCCCCAACTCCCACCCCAACCACCTCCGTTCCGTTCTCCTCTCTCTCTCTCTCTCTCTCTCTCTCATTCCTCTATTGGATTAACAGAAAACCGAAATCCTCTGTCAAATACCATTCCAATTCCAATTCCAATTCCTCCGTTTGATTCCGAATCCTCAACCCCCCATTTAAGGGGAGAATCAAAATCCATGGCGTCGACTCTGATTTCGAATCCCGTAGCCACCTCCGAACGAGCCCGGGATCCTTCTAGAAGGAAAAAGAAGAAGAAAATCCAATCCAAACAAGACCACCTCCACCACCAAGAACCCGCCAACAGCCACACCAAGTGGAAGTCCGAGGCACAGCAGCACCTCTACTCCTCCAAGCTCCTCCACGCCCTCAACCAAGTCTCCATTAACCCCGCACCCGACTCCTCCGCCCCCGCCGCCAACTCCTCCGCTTCCACTTGTACTCCGCCACGCGGCCGAGCCGTTCGCGAGACCGCCGACAGAGTACTCGCCGTCGCAGCTAAGGGTAAGACCCGCTGGAGCCGCGCCATTCTCACCAGCCGCCTTAAAATCAAGTTCCGCCAGCATAAACGGCAGAGATCCGCCGCTGCGTCGGGGACCCGGTCGACCCGGCCCAGGAAGACCAAGTTCAGTGTTCAGCGGCTGAAAGGGAAGGGCTTGCCGGCCGTGCAGAAGAAAGTACGGGTTCTGGGCCGTTTGGTTCCCGGTTGCCGGAAACAGCCGTTGCCGGTGATTCTAGAAGAAGCGACTGATTACATCGCGGCTCTGGAGATGCAGGTCCGAGCCATGAGCCGGCTCACTCAGCTGCTCTCCGGTTCAACTTCCGGCTCCACTTGATTGAACGGGGTTGGGATGTTGCCATGGGTTCCTCGATCAATGCTTTTTTTTTTTCTTTCCTCCTTTTTTTTTCTTTTTTGGCTCTCAGTGCAAGTAATTGTCATTTATCCTGTTAAATACATGATGTCTAGCTCTTCTCGTTTTAATTTTCCAGTAATTCTATTTCCACCCACACCACTATGGAAAAAATGGAAGAAATCTTCAATTGAATAACCAAATTATTATTATTTTTATAGGTATTATTATTATTGGATAATTTAGGTAAGTGTGTTCGTTTGGAGATACTTTTAAAGAAAATATTTTTGGGTTTTAAAACATTTGAAGTGCATTTTGAAAGAAGCACTTAAGCTTCTTTCAGTATTCACTTGATTTTTTTTATTAAAGATTGATTTCAAAAATATTTTCACCAAAACTATTTTTTGTCGTTTTAAAAAATATTTTCAAATGAGCTCTAAAGTTTTGTGAAAATGATAATCTTAATCTTCAAATTGTACAAAATAACTTGCGCCTAATTCTGAACTAGAAAATAGAGCAAATATTGTGTTACTATCTTTTTATTGAAGGTATGGAGTATGACTAATTTTCTCTTAGTTCAGCGGTATGTATAAGAATTTGAGAATTCAATTCAAATTTAATTGGCAATTTGTGGAGAGAATCTTTTAAGCAATCTTAGTAAATACTATTTAGACGCACAAAAATGCATCCTCATATAGAAAATTTTTATATACATTGATAATGCCACTAGTATTATAAAGTATGTGAGCTATGATGTCTCGTTTGTGTCTTAAATACCATTATTCTCTCACAATGTAGCAACATGTGGATGGTTTGGGTGACGCGCGCATGTTATATCGTTGTGTTTGTCACATTTATCATCTATTTTTATCATGTTATAATGTAATCATCATCTACTCGTTGTCAATTGGTTTTAGCTGAAAGCTGCAACAACATTTAGGTAGCAAGGATAGAACTCTATGGAGCTATTGGGTTAGTTTTGACATGACTGATCACTTGCAAGTTTGGGGACACACACATTGTAACCACTTAGAAATGACAAGACCTATTTGAATGTTGTGGAGAAGAAGGAAAGAGGGAAGGGGCAATTTAAACATGTTAGGAAAATGAATAATGGAATGGAATATCGTACGGGATTTTGGTCATACACATATCTCAGTGGGCAAAATGCTTGCTATAGTAGGACCGTAGGGGGTAGATAAGTAAAAAGAATGGGGGTAGAAAGAAAGAAAGAAAAGCTGCCGAAAGTGTCAATACAAATAATATGAGAGAAGAAGAATTGAAGAATGACGGAATTTTTATGGTGTTTCAGAGTATTAAATATTCTGATTTTGTTAAACTAAAATCTAACAGTTTATTAGCATGCGATAATCCGGAGCAACATAAAATTACTGGGAAGGAGGTGATGGGTTCAATTACAACATATATGCATGTGCGTTTGTCGTCCCCACCGGACAAGAGCACACTAGTCCCGATTTGGGGGCGATTGCTGGTTCTATCTGTGCCCCCTTCTGTGCTCACCTGCCCCTCTTCACAGGGGTAACGTATTTTGGTTAATACGTTTTTGGACAAAAACTCTCATTTTATTACGGGTTATGATTCTCTCCGCTCTAAATCACTTTGTCTTTCAATTCTCTTATATTTTTACGATCACAGTTAAATAACGTCAACATTTGATGTTGATTTCTTTATACAAAGAGAAAAGAGAAGTGAGAGATGAAGAGATCGGATGGAAGAGAATCATACTTCTTTCATCACTCACTTTGCTAGCTAGTAGTGTCACCCTCAATCCTTCTCCACGTGTCCCTCCAGAGAGAGAGAGAGAGAGAGAGAGATGAAGGGTTCTTCAACACACACACGGGTGTTTGTGTTTCATCGCTATCAGTGGGATTGGATTAGGGTTTTTGATGATTGAATTGGATTGATTGGGCAGGATAACTAGCTCCCTTGTAATAATATAGTTCAAAAAGGACCACATGCACCACAACAGTTGCTCATACTGTCAATGTATGCATACGACTCACAGACGCAGGGGTTTGAAAACGAAAACGAAGCGTGAGAGAGAGAGAGAGAGAGAGAAGAGAAGAGCAGAGGAGAGAAGGGAGCAGAGGAGAGAGAGCACATGGTGGCATTGATTTCATTTGGCATACAAACACCAGACTACACATGCAAGCCATGTGCATTATTTAATCCCCCTTCTCCTTATTAGTCCTTTTGAAGACAGTTGTTGACATGTCTTGGCTTTTGAACGTTGATAATACATCGGTAACCTTGTAAGTCAAAG